GCTGTCTAACGGAATATGTCCTTTATCAATATCATCATCACTATTAACTTCTTCATCTTCACAACTGCATAAATCTCCACATCCTTCAAAATACATACACTTATTCAATATGTGTTGTCACTAAAAATAAATTAAAAATAATTTATAATAGTATAATTTATACATTCTGTAACATTTATATTCACTATTTCCATAAGGTTAGGCGATGACATTGATAAGCTTAAGTCCAACATATTTGACTCAACTCTTGAACTCTCATCAAATGCAATATCCACATATAATTCAATAACAGTTGTAATACTTTGTTGTTGATACGCACTAATCATACAATCAATGTCTTCATCATCACATATATCCAATACATTGTATTGTTTAGCACTTGAATCAACCATAAAACAAGATATTATTCTAGATATGACATGATTATTACTAAGATTCAACTTGTCATGAATCTTTTTCCTTCAATTCATAAAATTTATCTCTCTTTTTATCTTTATCAATTTTTTGTTACCTTCAATTGTCACACCTTTGTTTCCAACAACAATTTTTCCATTCCAATATATAATAATAATAATAATCTCACTCATCCTGCATTTATAAAAAAAAACATATCAATAAAAAATTACAATTATACTTATTTATATAAATAATAAAAATAAATTATTATTAACACACACTAACATACTATTATTTTACATCATTTTATATTACAAAAAATGAAATATTTTTTAAACGTATTCCACATATATAAAATAAATGTTCATAACAAATATAACATCATTTTTTGTATCAAACAAGTTAATATTAAATATCTACTAACTTCTATATTTTATTTAACAATATTTAAAAATTTAGTTTTTAATTTCAACATGCACAAAAAAATATTTATTAAATATTCATAAATTTTAACTACCTCTATGATTTTAAATAATTAAAATATTTCAATTAAATCAATAACAAAAATACTAAAAAAATATTCAAAATTTACTAACCTTAAATTTTCTTCCAATCTTTAAAAGTGTTAGGAACGTTTCCTTTCTCTTTCACTGTGATTTGGATCCGCCAATGTGTAGCATTATATACTCAAATTTTGCAGGATAAAAAGAGGTAGTGGAATGAAGTTGGCCAACAGCAGCGGGTAAAAGGGGTTTCATCTGAAATATGGGCGAAATGATAATGCATTTCGTCTTAAATGTGGACGAAATCATTTAGATGCAAACAAGTGTCGAGATCCTATAGTTTCGTCCTAAATTGAGACGAATTACTGATATATTAATACATGGCCCTTGTTTCGTCTCTCTTTTATATGAAATTACTAATACGTGTCAACTTGTGGACTGTTTTGTCCCTCTTTTAGACAAAATGATTAATTTAAAAATAAAAAAATAATTTTGTCTAATTTAAATACGAAAGAGCTGTTTACGTGACAAAAATTTACTCTAGACATAGAATAAGTTTTATTTTATTTTATTTTGATAATTATTTTTAAAAAATATATTATTTAAATCATTAAGCCAGAAGGTGTACATAAAAACACACACGAAATCCTAAAATAATTAACTTCTAGTTATCTACCTACAGCTACTGGCTAGAGCCTAAGAAGGACCCCGGAGAGAGAAAAGCTAGCTGCCAAAGAGCTCTATGAAAAATGAAAATTTGGCTCAATGCATCAAGTAAGAACTCCTTTTGACTAGTTTCAAATTAGTAAGATCCGATCTTGAACATGATCAACCATCTGTTTTAAGTTTTATCGACATATATTTGGTCTATTATTATGTACACAATATCATTTTATTAAAGGGGTTACACATCTGCTGTCACATTTGATATTTTATTTAGATATTTTTGGAGTTGGTAAAGAGGATATTTGAGCATGGTTTTGATACGTAGGACAAAATCATAGATAGTTTAACTAAATATGCCTAGCTAGGCAGAAAGTTGGGTTTACATTTTGAAAAAATATCATAATGAAAAAATTGGATAATAAATTGTTTTATGCTTTGTTCTTCATACCCTTTATTCCCAATGCCCCCCAAGTCTTCACGAAACTTGATATACAAATATAGTTGTTTTCTTTTCGTTTTTTTGATGGGTAGAGTCAGGCTTTGTATTTAACAAGAATCGCTTGAATTTTATCCGATAACAAAGAACATGTTGAAATGCACGCAACCAGCAAAATAACATTACATACACGCGTATAAGGTATTTGGGATTCATGCCAATGAATAAAGTACATGTAAACTTACCTTCTTTACAACCAGCAAAATAACTGAGTTTAACATTACATGCACGCAACCAACCATAGAACATCATAGTTATTCCTCGCATAATCTATTTCCAGAAATTAATGTCATCGGTTGATGATAGCCTCAAATCATCAACCCCATATGCAATTCCACAATTCTTGACGCTTTAGTTGATTCTATCTCTCAACGAACCCTTCATTGTTGAAATTGAGAAACTATATGAATACCATTGCTCTAATCGATTCCAGGAGGAATCAACATTACCCATGAACATTAAGGGACCAAAAGTATATCAATCTTAAACAAATCAAGAAAAAATTTAAAAAATGTATTAAGAAAAGAGATAAAACATATATAGAAAGATCGATCATGCTAGACAGGCTAAGCAGTAGGAGATGATCCTCAATATCGATAAATGATTTACAGTATCGAGGAAATAAGAATAAGGAATTTACTAATTGATATGACAAGCTAGACATCATCTTGTAATATATCCGTATAGCGTAACACACTAAAAACAAGGACAAAATATCTAATTCACGTGGCAGGAATCATGAAAATGCCATGGTATAAGGTGGCGGTGCACCGACTCAAGTACACTTATATCGTACCCTATGATTTCGTTCAAATTATCAAATAGTTTATTTCAATTATATATACTTCATGAATGAAGTCAAACCCATGTTAAAAAATTTTACTTACCCTTTTGTGAATATGCTTAGATTTTAGATTTCCAATCACAGAGAAGCTTCTCTCTCTAAGCTATTCACAGAGCAAAAATAGATGACACTAAACAAAACAATGAATAATGTATTGGGCTTAGGGCGGTAGCACTTGGCGTAGGGCACAGCTCACACCTGTGGATGATGGCCGGACACAAAGATTTTGCCACCAATGGAAGTTGATGCATTTAAGTTACATTTATGGAGATAAAGGTCAACGCCCAGATTGACTCTGATAAATCATTATTTAAAATGTTGACTGAGGATAAAATATAACGTATATGAGAACTCAAGAGTTGTATGTCTCAGAGATTCACGGAACAACAAAATCTTTGGTCTCACATGACATGATTTTACGATTCCAACACTTATTGTGGCGGTGTACTTCGTTTTTATTCAATACCTTCGACGTCAACGTGCCACTGAAGCTTTAACTATACAGGTTTCAATGGCCCTAGCTTTTATCTTTTTTCTGAACGATCAACGATAATAAATTTTAGTCAATAACTAAAAGAAAAACATATTAAGAAAAAGCTAAATATTTTTATGTTAACATTTCTCTTTTTTAATTTTTCACAATCCAATAAAATAGGTCAACTCGAAATAATAAAACATAAATATTATTTGATAATCATGTTAAAACGAAATAACACACAGGGTTAAATATTTTAATTTTAATTTTAAAAAAGTTACTTTTTTATGTTTTAATTCATGTAAAAAAACTATTCGTTTCTTAAAAATTACAAAATTTATATGCTGAGGAATTAAAATCAAATTATCTTTGATGAATGTATTAAGTTTTATTATTACTATAAAATAAAAAATTGTGATTAACCGACACGTTTTGCTGGTCAATACGCTAAGCGAAATGAATATATGTTACATCTGCACATTCTTATTTATTAAAGGATTGTTTAAATTTAAAAATAATATTAATTTAGTTATTAATAAACATGAACAAACATTAACTAAAGCTATCCATTGGGTGTGGCCCGTGGACTTATGACTTCGTCATTCGACTAAGGAGTTGCTGTCTTTCAAGAGAATGAAGAACAAAGTTAACTGAAAGAGAGCATTTCATTTGGGCATGTTCTAGATAGTGCTAAGCAACAGAAACATATATAAATCTTAATGTACTTTTAATTTGTCAGCAAAGTCAACTTTAAAAGAGATTATGTATAAAATAAAGTTTGGACAGCAACAGATAAAGCAAAATTCGCATTTTTAATTTTTTTTCAAAAAGCATTGTTGATGACTTTGTTAAACGAATAAAATATCCCATGCTTTGACAATTTTGCATGTCAACAAATAATTTATTTCTTTAACATATTGGTTGCCCACAAAACCCCACATAGAAGAAAGTAGAGTTTCATGCATCCGCAAGCTTCAACAGCATATTTATAAATAATTTTACTATAACGATATTGTCAAAGTATTTAAAAATAATTTTTTATTAAAAAAAGATTTATTATACTTTTATATTTTTAATTAAATAAACATGTATTTTTTTTTATAAAAATTTACTAGTTTTATAGGCTTAACTTAATCCTAAAATTTGAGAGGAATAAATCTTATTTTGAAAGATGTATATAGAGAAGACTTTGGATAATCAAATGGTTGAAGTGCCAGCTCACTGACCGACCTCCAAACTATACACGTTAGTATCTTTGTATTATAATATATTGTGGTATTAACTTCCTATGAGGGACTAATACCCAAAGGTACTTGCTTTTAGATGATGGATTGGGCCATTATAATAAAATCCCTAGAGACAGGGAAGATCCCATGCTTTGATTTGCATTCCTCAATTATTGATTTGAACTCTTCCACGTCTGTTATCTCTTCCACAATCAAAGACAATATATTAATTGGACATGATTAATCTATGTGCTCATAAAAACTTTAAACACTAAACTAACTAGTTAGTACACCTTGACTCCTACAATCTATATATAGCCAAAGTTAGAGACTCATTAGCACTGTGGCAAAAACTAGAAAAACACAAACATAAACACAGAAAAAGACAGACAAAATGAGGAACAGTCATGTGCGTTTGAACTGCGGCATTACAATGCCTCTCATTGGATTTGGCACTTATTCCTTCCCAAATGATAGGAAGACAACAGAAATTGCCGTCCACAATGCCCTTGAGGTATTAACCATAGTTATATAATGCCTTTAAAACCCCTATAAATGCCTTGCAGTTATTCTCTCTTATTTCAATTTTCTGGCCCCTAGTTTACTCTCTCTTGTGCTAACTAATAGCGAAAGCAAAGAAGAGAAAAGAAAAAGCTACAAGCATGGTTTTTTATATTTTAATATTTATTTTTCCTTGTTATTGATACACATGTACATGTACATGTACATATGCAGATGGGCTATAGGCATTTTGACACAGCAAAAATATATGGTTCTGAGCCAGCAGTGGGCAAAGCCATAAATGAGGCAATCTGTGAGGGAAAAGTAGACAGAGATGACACTTTCTTAACATCCAAACTGTGGGGGAGTGATCACCATGATCCTGTTTCTGCATTGAAACAAACTCTAGAGTAAGCTAAGAGAATTCTTTAAGATGCATATTGCATGGCTTGGTTTTACGATAACCTTGAGGCTTGAGGGAATATTTTAGATACACCCATATCTTAAATTCTTCCTTTTCATGATTTTTCTTAAGTAAATGAAAGCAAATAACCTAAAATGCATGTGGTGTATAATCAAAATCTCATGGGACAATAAAAACAATGTAGTAAACTTGTGTCAAGAATAAGTGAATATTGTCATGCCTAACGTGGACGTATAAACAAATATGGGACACAATCTTTTTAATATCGCAGCTAATTACTTAATTTTGAAGAATGGAAACAAAATCATAGTTAGAAATCTAATGCTGATTTTTTTATTTTCTTTAATTGAATGCATAACAGGAATCTGGGCATGGAATATCTAGACATGTACCTAGTGCACTGGCCTGTCAAGTTGAAGCCATGGGTTAACTACCCCGTACCTAATGAAGATGACTTTGAAAATTTGGATCTTGAGACCACATGGGCAGGGATGGAGAAATGCCTAGAAATGGGGTTGTGTAGGTGCATTGGGGTTAGCAATTTCTCTAGCAAGAAGATTGAGTGGCTATTAGAGTATGCGTCTACACCTCCAGCTGTTAATCAAGTGAGTAGAGTTAAATCTTGAGGAGTATTTGTAATATTTATTGACATAACAATAATTTAATTCACCAAATCTTGGTACTCAGGTGGAAATGCATCCAATGTGGAGGCAAGGAAGGCTCAGAAAGACCTGCGGAGAGCACAAGATCCATGTAAGTGCTTATTCACCACTTGGTGGGCCAGGGAATGCATGGGGATCTACTGCTGTGGTTGATCATCCAATTATCCAATCAATTGCCCTCAAACACAAAGCAACTCCAGCACAGGTAACATACTTTATGTATATATTTTAACATTGCAAGAATGGAAAGTTATGTATATATTTTATCATTGGTAGAATGGAAAGTTATGCATATATTTTAACATATTTTTTTATTGTGATTTTTTAAGATTGCGTTGAAGTGGGGACTAACAAAGGGATCAAGTGTGATTGTTAAGAGCTTCAATCAAGAAAGAATGAAGGAAAATATAGGATCGTTTGATCTGACATTGGATAATGAGGATATCATGGAGATTGAGAAATTGGAGGAAATGAAGATTATGAGAGGGGAATTTCACGTTAATGAAACCACAAGTCCCTACAAAACTATTGAAGAACTTTGGGACGATGAAATTTGAAGCCAAAGACAATGTTGCAATCCATTTACATCACAGGGAAAGAAGAGAATTGAACAAAATTTTGTTTCAATCAAAATGTTTCATGGCTTTTCAGTGACCAGATTCCTCGTTACCTAATAGTGAAAATCCTAATGATGATTGTTTAGAATGATTATTAAAAAAAAAACAAGTATTTTGTTTTCTACAACTAAAGATGCTTTTGTGAGTAATTTTACCGTAACTATATTTGTTTATGAATGATATTTCTCTTTCTTCTCCCGTAATTATCATCCAATTTAAATTTTGTAACTCCAAATCCAACTAATTATTATTACGTGCACGCATGAGACATGAAATACGAAAACAAATATAATATAAACGTTGACTATACATTATGAGTTGTGATCTCCAGATTAGGGAAAATGAATAAGCCTAAACCTTGTGTAAGAATTGTGTCATGAAAATCCACAAAAGGGTTGTGTGTAAAAATAAGGGCTACAACGGTTGCAAACCGCTTGTTATTTATTTGCACAATCGCCTTTGAATTCAATTTTTTTATAAAAAGAAAACAAACTTAGAATATTTGTGCAAAGTCTTTGTAAGTTAAGTTTCAGTAAAATAATAGTATGATTTGCGAATGTTCTTGATGCCAGATGTTTGACATAGCCCGAGAAGGGAACGAAGCTAATCCTCTAATTAAGAACATTTTTTGAGGGGTTCTTTAAGTCAATGGTTTCAATTTGAGCGAACCAGCAAAATTAGTTCTCAAGATTGTACAAATACCACACTTCATTTCCTAAGATTTTAAAAACTTCATTCAGTTTAGGCTGTTTTTAACAGTTGAAAATAAAATAAAAAAGGGTCGGTATATCAACAAAGCTAGAACAAAATAATTTGAAGAGAGCAAAGCGATAAAATCAAATCGAATACTTCAGAAAAGGTAGAGCCGTCAATGCTATTAATTTTTCGGGGGATAATGGAATTCCTCGTCAAATCACATAATCATATAATTATTTTAACAGCAAATGTTGACAATGCAAGGGAAGATCGTAATTAGGGTAGCGTTCTTTGAACAGTGGCCTGGCAGAGTCAGCACCTTACATGACTGTAGTGATATGAAGTCGAATCTAGAAACAATTGCAGAATAATCGACATTCAGAGTGCTTGCAAATGATTTAGAGAAGATTATAATTGAAGTTAAACTTAATGGCTGTCAATTTCATACCTGTCAAAATTGGAATCATTACATGGATTAGGCTGCAACTACCGGTGTAACATTTTCATTAATACCTTGCTCGATGCACTGAAAGAAATTAAATTTGAAGTCATTTCAGAAGAAAAGGAATACCGGAATATTGTTATATAATCAATTTTTTACCTGAAGAAGGTAGCCATGCAACCAATCCAATGTTTGCGGAAATGTGGTTGCTGATACATTGACCACAGTTAACCCCTGTAACATCAAATGGCAAAAACTGAAGTACAAAAAATAATTGTGGATGAGCAAATTTTAGAAATCTTGAATTCGTAAGGGCTTTGGGTAATACTACAATCAGTGAATAAGATGTGATGCTGTTTTGCATTCATTAATCAATAAATGGAAGCAATTCACCAAAAAATTTGAATTGAGAAACGTACAGTAATTGTCTTGGTTATCATCAAAACAAATGACATTCCAGAAAAAAGGATTGTTCACCAAAAATTCTAGTAATCAATACAAGAGTGTATCTTTCGACATACCTGTGATGTGAATGAGCACAGATAATCCTGTATGGTTTTCAGGTTGGCTATAAGCTTATCATTATCCTGTAAATTGAACAACAAAATTCAGAAACAGTTGAGACAGATCAAATCCCATCTTATACTATAGTTTATGTGGTCTCCTAATGGTTCTTGTTTCTTTTTTTATTAGGTATCTCAGATGGGCTGTTCAATTGTAAAGGCAGAATGTCTATCATACATGAATTTAAATGATATAAAAAGAAACCTAGGATCATAACCTGCAACTCAATATCCTCAGTTTCTGCTTCTCTTTGTTAAGTCATTGGACGGCCGGGAATCCTTTAGTAACATAACCAGACACTTCTTGTTCATATAGTTTATTCTAGTCATTCTCATCTTGCTAATCATATTGAAAGCTATGATTCTTTCTTTAATTAATTGTGGTATAGATGTCCTTCTTAACAAGGTTAGCACCAAATGATGCGTTGCAATTGTGGAGACCTTATTCAGATATGTGCAAAAAATTGTTTTAACAAAATATGAAGACTGAGGTTTGTTTGCTTTTGCATTGATTAGTTGCATGGAAAATTGAAGCAGGTTATTTGACTCTTTTATATGATTATTAAAAGATGTTTGTCCACAATCACAGTAGAAGCTCTTATTGACTTGTTTTATGAGATAATTTCTTTGGGACTTTATTATGCTTCCATACTTGTAGTCCTTTTAAAGGATTTGAAAGGAATATGTCACTAAGCGAGTTCAATCCCATACCTCTCAACATAATAAAATAAATTCCCCTAGAAACTCGAAAGCCAGAAACACAAAATAGACTAAAATTCCAGGGCCTGGAGGTTTGGGTTTTAAGTTTAGAATTTACTGTACCTGATCTGAGCATTTGTCATTAAAGGTACGAGAGGAGATCCATTCCTCAAGTAATGCCTGCAAATAGGATAAGGGTCCAGTTAGATTGTTTGACTTTTTACACAACGGAATCTGATAACAAGACTTGTGCACTTGAGTTATGTTGTTTCAAAAATTCATCTATCCTACTCCTACTGAGCAGAAGTAAACAACCAGGACAACAATGAGGACCAGTTATTGTCTTTTGTGTGTAAATATTACAGTTTCTGTTAATCTATGAGTCAGCCCCTAAACATTATTATTATTATTTTCATTCCATGCATTATAGTTCCCTTGCACAATAGGAACATCCTAGAGATACATACAAGACCTGGTAATAAACTTGACAATCAAATAAATTCCTAAAATCAGACATGCTACATGTGAAAACACGAAACACTTGCGTGTATAATTGTCACTTCCATAAAAATAATGGACAATGAGACAAAACCTTATGATCAAATTCAGCCATCTTCAAAACAATAGGCACAATTATTGGTTTGGGGCCTGACTTCTCCTTACTAATAGTTTTGTCTGTCTCCAGTTCTCTAAGAGGAGCATCTGCATGACAAACTAATCTTTTTTAAATTGAAACAATCGCTATCATCCATATTATGGCTTATCTCTTAGTTCAAAACTGATCAGCATTAAAAACTGACAAATAAAAAACACCAACCTTTATTATGTCCAGAGATGCTGCCAGTTAGGCCCATTGATGCCATAGAATTTGACACTGCATCAACCTGGTCAGCAGATACTCCTTCAATGGAGCTAAAAGTCTTGGAGCCACCATTACTCTCATCACCACTCCCCACATGAATATTTTTTATTTTTTCTGTAGCAGTATCTTCCGATGCCACAGATGCTGGATTTATCTCTTTATTTACTGCATGTGCAGCAGCAGGTGATTTATTTTCATCATCCACTAAATAAATGCTAGGATCCAAATGTATTCCCTGTCATAATGAAAATAGAAACAAAAGAAATGAGCCTTTACCAAGAGAAACACCTTGACTGCATAATAAAAAAGAAAAGGTGTCTCACATTATTAAAACAAAATTTAATCAGACATGTTTATGGGAGACCAAAATTACAGATGAAATTATCAATTTTCTTTTCAACAGATTTCCTCTTACAGTACCTTAAACTATTTAAGGTACAAAAGCAAAAAGGAAATTTTCAAATTTGCATTCTATTTCTATTGATAAATGAAGAAATTGTATTGAAGATGCGAAAGGAGTACAATGAAAAAAAGAGAAAACAAAGTATCACTCTACAAGAAAACATAACAATAAAGCTCTTTGATCCGTCCGTGTATCAAGTATTTATTTGATTGTAATAAGATGACTGGCAATGTGCATAATATTGTACATAACTAAACTGTTGATCTAGAAATGTTAATTTAAGAAATAAACTAATCAAAAAAAGATAGACCAGTCTAAAACCTGCAAGGATGTTATGCAGGAAACCTCCCACTACTTACACACACGTCCATACATACCTCAATTATAATTGGCTTTCCATCTTTCATTGCCTTTTTCAGATCACCGGCCAAGCCTAAAAATCAAATGTCAATTTAATAGATGAAAACAATCAAGTATAAAGGACATAAAGTATCCATAGCTTTCTGTCAAAAAATGGATTATTTATAAGGATGAACACCAAATTCAATTCATAGATCTCAAGCTAGAAAGAACTGAGAAAACCTTTACGAACAACCCTGCATTCTCTGCAAAATTCAGTTATTAATTCCTCTGGCGAACCAAAGTCTCTAGCCCATACAGGAGTCGACGCCAATGGTGCACTATATCAAATACAAGAAAATCATCCAGATTTGATAAATAAATATATGCAAGTATTAATCACATCATTGATTAAAGGGATGAAAACCATCAGGCCAGAAAGTTTATATTTGTCAAAGGCCTTCCATGTATGGCTATGCTGATTGCTGACATCTACTAATATTTGTAATTTATACATTCAAAGCAAAAATGGTAAAAATTATTGTTGAATATGTAGATTTATAGAATCAACACACAAATGACAACATATATCAAGAGAACTTCAAAAATTAAGCACATATCAGGAACTAGACAGAAATATTCAGCCACACTATATGAACACAACCATAATATTGTATTAATTGACATGGTTTATTGATTTCACTAAAAGAACATTCAATCAATGCAAAAATATTAGTGAAATTTAGGAAGACATAAAGAAGTTCAGGACATACTCTGTTGATGTGCGCAACAATTCATAAACCATATCTGTCTATCAGAATCAACAAGAAAATGTCAAAATCATTTGTATATAATTTCAAGCAATCAAAATAAACATAGGGAAAAGTCCCTTTAGGTGCCCAGTTAACAAGGAAAATAAAAAACCAGTTTGGTTACAAACACCAAAATGGAAACACTTTTGTTAATATGCAACTAATTGAAAGTCCTTAATTTATATGATAGGAAGATAAAGCTATATTAGAGTTATTCAAAGCCTACCTGTAATACATTTGGCAAATTTAACCTCTGTGCAAGCTGGGTGGCAATAGTAGACTTCCCAACGCAAGCAGTTCCACAGACAAGGATTACTAACGGAACTCGTTGATGGTGAAATCTGGATAAATGGGGAAAGCAGGAGAATGGAATAGAAGCCTCATTTATACCATAAAAGGTATCACCCTCAAGTAAATTTCTTATTCTTTCTGTATTTTCTTTTTTCCAAAAACATCAATATGAAATTATTTTCAACACCTTATCAAAACAGCTAGCAAGACAGGAAAAATGTGTATGCACATAGAAAAAATTTACATATGTATATATAGTTACATATCCAAATTTACCAATAGATGCAAATTTGATAATATATAAACATGACATATATAAACATGAAATGTTGATGCATACATACATATAGATGGAACTAACACGCATGCATGCATCCTAAGCCTTGTCATCATCTTTTAACAAAGGAAGGAAACAAGGAGAGATATTTGCCTAATGAGGATAAGATATTGGCACATTGTCTCCAACAGAAAGACTGCATACTAACCTTGTCATCATCTTATAACGATTAATGTACTCTTCTCCGTATCCCCGCCGCTCCATAAGCTGCACATATAGTGCCCTATTAGAATGTTTCTACAGATTAAATGACAATCAGCATTTAGAAGAGTGAGGAATTCCAGCCATGACTGCAACTTCATCCCACTAATATAATGGAATCCAATTTCCTCCTATTAGGAAAAAAAATATCACAGAAATTTCAGCTCCATTTGATTCTAAATTTTAAAACCACATGAAACCATTTTCAATTATGTCTGTATCTGATAAGACCGCTCCAAAGAATAACCACATTATTCTTATACATGCACAAACGTTTCCTATATAAAACAAATATTGAAGTGAAAACAATCCTTGGGGAATACTAGATATATATCTGCAAATAGATGCATACCATTTTACTCCTCAAGTATACATCTTGACCATGAGTTCAAATGGAAAAGGCTAATGATAAAAGTTTATTCAAAATTTCCTCAAGGTGCATCACCAAAATAAAAAAGGTTAGCATAGAAAAATAGAAATTTTTGGCCATACCTTGAATAGGTTGGCTTCCAAGTCAGACTGAGAGCTGCAGCATACAAGCACAATGATTCTTTTTAAATAATTTTATCAAAATTCAAATGGAGAAAGAAAAGAAGGAAATAAGTTAAGACTAAACAACATCAGGAAAAGAGGAAAAGAAGAGACGCGAAGCAACCTACACATCTAGAAGGCTGTTGTCTATGAGCAGCTTCTTCAGTTCTAGAGCAATTTTGATAGCTACATGATTCGGAATCTGAAAATCAACAAGCTTATAATAAATGATCTGACATCTTACTAGTTTTCACAAACTCAACTACCATCCATAGAATAGGAGTTAGAACATGCCCAGTACCTAGTCCTAAACATCTTAAGCAACTTAAATGAAAGGAAACAAAAAAAAAAAAAAAAAAAACAGACACAAATAACATAGAAAATGAAACGGCTAAAACAGAATGAACAGTAGTTATGTTGTTATACCTTGGTTACCGTTAGCATTCTGCTGAGCAAAAATCTGGAGAGAACATAGTAGTGGTCAGCATTATCACCCAACCACACCTTTACCTAAAACCACAAAACCCAGAAAACATTTTGAAATGAAAAGAAAAAGACAAATACAGAAGCAAGCAATAGACACAAAAATGATCTCTGTTCCTCTGAATGCGAAAAGACCAAAAAACAAAGAAACGAGTAGAAATTGAAGGAAAGCCAGTTTGGAACAAATAGAAAAGTGACAAAATTGATGTAAATGAGTTACGGAAATGGAGAAAAGGGTGACCTTGACGAAATCGTATTTGGAGGAAGCGTTGCGGGAAGAGAATCTGACAGAGGGAAAGGAAGGGTGTTGTTTATCATCGCTGTCTTCACCACTCACGGGGCTTGACACAGCCATTCCCTTCTCCTTCTTCATCGATCTCATCAATCACTGTCTTCTGTTCTGTTCTGTTCTGTTCCTTCGCACAAACGCACAATCACACACCTCTTCAGTTTTTCCTAATTTGCACCTTTCTATATCTTTCTCCTAAACGATTTTCATTTTCAGATTAAGACAAGTTAATTACTTAATTTGTGTTTATTAAATAAGCTAATATATCATAAATTTCATTATACGAAAGAAAAAATGTTTTAGTACGAAAACTTAAACACAAAAATGGTACGGATGAAAACGTTACATTTTAACTGGTAAAAATAATTCTCTCTCTGTTAATCAAATTCAACTATTCTTACATGATTAGTTATCTATCCTTCCTTTTTTAAAATTGTTGTTATAAAAGTTATAAATTATTTCATAAATTGTTTTAAACTCTTTTAAATAAGTATCCTAAAACATTGATTTAACTAACATATTTAGGAAATTAATGAAGAAATTAATAAATAAAAATTGGATAAAAAATTCATGATTAATTTTCTTGTAAAAAATATATTTAATAGTTTAATAATATATATATATATATATATATATATATATTGTCATTTAATAATCAAGAATAATAGTAATAATAATAAAGGTAACAAGATTTAAATTTAAAATAATTCTAAATCTCCCCACCATTTATTCTTACAAATCCTTTTAATTATTAAATAAAGAAAGTATTTAATACATTGTATGATTTCAACATAATAATAAATACATATTTCCATTTAATACTTACTTTAAGTAGAAGGAAAATTATGAAAAAGATTATTTGGAAAGTATAGCAAAGCTCTGTTTTATCCTTCTAAGTGGATATTTTTGAATAAAAGTTAAATGTTATTAAACTATATTACATAAGGGAAGTTTGAAAGATTGAAAAATGTTGCTTCCCACAAAACAAAGTACTAAAAACTATAAAATTCATGTTACAAACTTGCAAACCGTAAAACAAACATGCTACTGAGTTTAGGATAAATTTGTTACCTTTCCTTTTAAGATTTATACATGTAATTGTTTTTCAATTCGTATGATAAGGGTATGATTCAAAGCTGCCGGGTTTAGTATGGTTGTGAAAATTTAATTAGTATTAATAGCTACATGTATATAATTTTTTAGATAAAAAAAGAGCAATATATGAAGAATAGAAAAAGTGAGATGTAACCTTTACATTACAAACTTTAATTTAATATATGTTTTGTAAAAACAAAATTTGGTAGCATTTGAGAATGTATTAGGATGTAATGATTCTATTTGGACTGGCGTGATTGTAAAGATAAACGTACGAAGAAATTACACTCAATATTTCATTGACCAAAAAAGACAAAAGAAATGAAGCACTTCCAAACTAGAAAGCCTAATACAACCACAAGTACAGCATTACATGGACCCAAAAAAATGTGTTGCCATGACATGTGAACAAACCATAAGAAGCAAAGTTTAAAGCATCTTGAAGTGACAAAGGCCCACAGATAACGGTAACATGGTTACTTCAACCGCACCTTGTCAAAAGGAAAAAAATGCAGTGGAACAAGCTACCCCACCCAATTTCAGCTTCGAGTGAACTGGATTAGACTTTTACATAATTACATCTCTAGCCAAGTTCTTCTTCATCTTCTAGTACGACGGAAGATAACAAAGAACAAACTTCCACCGTCAACATCTAAGTTAACCGGAACAAAGCCATTACATGTTGGTACAATTTTCACGGATGTGGGTGAAAATAATCTGTTTCTACGATTTATTATTATTAGATAATAAAAAGTACATGACAGATTTAGGTATCATGTTCTTTTGAAAAATTTACCACCTTTCTTTCCCATGCTTATCCCCACAAGACTTGATGGAAGGAGTGATTTGGTATCTGGCCTCCATTTCAACTCCTTCAGAATGGTAAATAAGGTTGCCAGCGTAGGAGAAATCTCACTGTCCTTTATATTCTTACACGACATTACTCTAAGGCTCTGAAGCTCCTTCCACGAATCAATTACAGATTCCAATCCTTGTGTTGTTAGCAATGAACACCCTTCTAAGTATAACAATTTTACCCGCCTGAAGTACAGAAACAACTATCAATTTCATTATCCACATATCTTCAAACAAGTTTATTCATTTGAGTTATATGCTAATTTTACTATCACGGCACAACAGAACCACTCCAACCACATTGAATTCGGAAACTTTTAAGATTTCCCTACATACCAGATTACCAGTACATACGAATAAGATGCTAGAATACAACTGTTACTCATACATGACTACAGAAATTTCAACATTGAAAAAAGTTATGAATACACATTAGAGTTTATATCCAAATCCAATGAGTCAAGTTGTAAGATGTGAAAGAGGGCACTACCTGCAAACGATGGCGAAAGCGAAGAGGGAATTATCGAATCCCCAGCAGTCCTGAAGAATGATCTCCCTGGCAGCCCTGCAGACCGAAAACAAGGCTGCAACGCTCTTCTTATCGCGCAATTGGCATTTGTGCAAGTGCAAGCGTTCAAGTGCAGGGCAAGAACCCAAATACTCCTCGAGTCCAGGGTTGAGATCAATTCTCTTGCAAGACTGAAACCTCAGGGTCTTCAAATTCTCGCAATAGGAAAGAGAGGCGAGCCAGCCATCATCCATTCTATGATCAGAGAAGGTTAACTCTTCCAACATGAGGCAGCACTTGCCTATGGCTTTAATCCCATCAAAGCTGCCTTCGCAGCCACGAAGTTCAAGCTTGACGAGCCTCTTGCAACCCTGAGCCAAAATGGTCAAACCAATATCAGAAACCACAGAATTGTAGAAGCCGTCAACATTCCCCACCAGTTTCAAGATTTGCAGGTTCCCACATGCGGCGATCCCACGAAGCACGTTGTCACTGCATTTATGGAGTTCGAGTTCCTGCAAGGTCAAGCACTCTTCAGCTACACTCAGCAAACCCATCTCGCTGGCACCAATGACTTGGAGTCTCCGGAGATTGGGGCACCCACTGGCGAGGGCACTGAGGCCATTGTCGATGACCTCCACGGGGAGCATGTTGTCCTCGCAAAAGCACCAATTGGGGGAAGAGGCAGAATCGAGGTGGACGCAGAGAACGCGGTTGCTGAGGAAAATGCCGGAATTTCGGGGAGAGATGAGGGCGGCAGAGAGCAAATCGACATGGTTGAGATTGGGGAAGCGGTGAATCAACCTACCGGATAAGAGGAAGTTCCAGTCGAAGATCTTGAGGGAGCGAACGAGGCGATCTTGGAGATTGAGCCAGCGCTTGCAAACGAGGGAGTTGGAGTTTCTCTGAGCGTGGGAATCGGAGAGTTTGGAGAGGATTTTGAGAAGAAGCTCGTCGGAGAGGAGAAGGGTTCGATCGGTGAAGGGGAAATTGGAGAGTAAGGGATTGGCTTTGTCAATGTGAGGGGAGAGGGAGTGAAGTTGCATCGCCACTACCACTGGATTCAGCGCTTTCGATTTCCTGTGCTTCAGCCACATGTCGGACCACCTGGGGCCTCTCTTCTTCAACGGAGGACTAGGGTTAGGGTTAGGATTCTTGTTCTCCGCCGGAAACGACATCGTTGCTGAGTCGAAGTGCTGCAGCGGCGGCGGCGGCGTCGTCGTCGTCGTCGTCGTCTGTTTATTGTTTATTGTGAATGGAATTGAATTGAATTGTAGGCTTTTTGTGGGGGCCAACGCCAACGGATTTGTTTGTTCAGTGTCTGTGGGACTCACATTTTGAATATTTCGTAATCACTTTTTGGTGTGTAGATAGTGTTGCTTTTTGTTTTCTTGTGGCTGCTTCTAACGGCATATCTAAGTCGCAACACAACAGACAAATAACTTGATATCAGAATTGGTCATCATGCTATACAATCCCAAGCCAGAAATGGAGGAGTAATCAAGGTTTTTTTTTTTTCCTATTATAGAGTAATCAAGGTTTTATATTAATGAAGATTCCACCAAATATATAATGAAGGAACCATTAAAATTTTCAATTTTTTTTATTAAATCTTCTTGATTTGTTACTAATTTTGAGAACAAGTGTTATAAGTTATTGTTTCTGTTAATTTGTTTATTAAATTCTATTTCTTACTTTTTTTGTAAAAACAAAACTAGTTATAGTCTCTAAATATAGTTTTGACAATATCAAAGGAGGTTTATAATAATTTTAGATCTTAAAAATAAATAAATTTCTTGCAAGTTATTTTTATTAAATAAAATTTGTTAAAGTCTTTAACTAGTTCATAAATAATTAGTTAGAAAAGATTTTTAAAATGAAAATAGTATAATAAAAAAATATACTAAATCTAATATTTTTGACTAAATCATTTTGTAAATGTGAACCTAATTTAGACCACACACCTGAATATAGTAAGTAAATCTATCATTAAAAAAAAAATTTCATATAAAAAAACTTAAACTCGAGACTTTACTTAAACGATACAAAACTGCTTGTCCTTTGAACCAACTTTTGTTAATTGAATAGTCTTATTATTATTAAGGTTTCAAATTGAAATGCTATGTATGGTATAAAAAAGTCATGTTAAAAACTTGTCTTGACCACACTGTAAATGTTCCTTACTCAAATAAAAATTAACTTCCATAAAAATATTCTTATCCCTGAACAAGTTATTTAATGTTTCTATTATTTAATATTTTAGGATTATTAACTCATCATCAATAAATAAAATAAAATAAAAATGAATAATTACATGTTGGGATGAAAGTTTAAGAAGTAATACCAACTTTTAATAAAACTGCAATGTATTAACAAGCTTTCTTTTAGTACCAATTTTTAAGAAAAGAAAACAAATTTCATTCCACGATGAAAACCAATAATTTTTTTTTTAATAAAAGAATAGTTATACTTAGCATCGAATCCAAAGCATATTTAAAAACTACAAGAGGAAAGAGATTAAAATAGTTCTTGTGCTAATATGTATTTAAGTAAAATTAATGTCATATAGTAGTGTTTTTCATTTTAGGAAGATAGTATGTTGAATAAACTATTAAATCATTCATCAATGGATAAAATTTTCATCACGTGATAAAGTTGTTACGTTGAATATATATTAAGAGCCCATTTCATAAGCATAATAAGATACTATAAGAATTGAATAAAAATAAAACGATAAACTTTTATGATATTTTGTTTGATACATATTAAGATAATAATGCAAATAACCTTATCTCATCTCATCTAATGTTTAAGATAAATAAAAGATAATAGAATAAAATATAAATTATATTTAAATAATAAAATTACTCTTTAAAATTCATATAATTTTTTAATATAATTTCTTAGTTTTCAATAAAAAAGAACATTTTATGTACATAAAATATTAAATTTTTTTTAATAAATTCAAATAATTTTCTTTATTTTCTTAAAATTAAAATATATTATTTAAGCAATTATTATTTAAAAATTATAAAAGTTGTAAAGTATATTTTATAAAACGAATAATTATTTCAAAATATTTATATAAAAATATAATTTTTTAAAATTATTTTTTATTTAAAAGATGTTTCTAAAATTTTTCATAAAAGTATTAAAGTTATATATTTTGAATAATTTTGTTTATAAAATATGAATAAAAAGGTATCATTATGTTCAACACACCAAAAATAAAATAAGATAAAGTAAACTATCATAGTTTGTCCTCTTATCCTCACAAGACCACCATAGGCCCATGAATAACTTTACCATAATCCTATCTATTTACATTAAGTTACATTACATTAATCAAAAGTGTGATTTAAAATGTCCAAGTCAGCCTTTAACATGCCATCACAAACATTACACAAAATTATCAGCTATTGGAGACATGATTATAAGCAGAAAAGTTACAGATTTTAGAATTAAAAATCTACATTTTAATAAAGGGGTTTCAAGATGCAATAAATAAAGCAAATTACAAATGATCATGAACGTGGAGCTGCCATTTGCATCTTCTTTATCCTATCCCCAGCCTTCACCGAGCTGTGCATTTAGACACAAAAATACGGTCAAGATTCAAGAATTCATCAACTATTGCACACATTACACAGTGCTGTCTACAAACTGCAAGCTTAATGCGCATGAGAAAGACTAAGAAATCTTGAAAAGTCAAGACAGGTCAAGTTGTTGGCCCTGAAGTAACTAGGAAACAAGCAGGTGAATATGGCATTATTGAAGACAGCGCATTATTGAAAAAACAAAGAATTAAGCATTGAGATCAAAAAGTTAAAATAAGGCACACAATGAACAATTCAGGCCTAAGAAGACTTCCAAGTGGAAGTTCAGAAGAAACAACTGAAGAGTCATCGGAAGTCAAAATGATGGAAGAACTTCTGTAATACACTAAAAGAAAACTAAAAACTAGGAAGAGAAATTCAGAAGATTCTGGCCTCGTGTTCAAAAGAATCCTTCAACGAGGCACTTCATAAGCCTCAAAAGGCACAGGAGGCTACAAGCTCAGATGAAAACAAATGTTCTGAGATTAACAACCAAGCTAACACTGAATAGGACAAAATAACATCTAGTCTAAGTGATTCTTAGAGCAAGGATTTGGATCCTCTAAAGTGAGAGGATACACTTTAGAGGATAAAGCACACTTTAGTTATTAATTAAAAATTCAAAGCTGAGATTTTGATAAAATCAAGTACATGTATAAAAAGTTCATTACAATCTCAACCATTTTTTTTAATGCTGGGTTATTAGTGCACTTTATCCTCCAAAGTGCACTCCCCTTACTTTAGAGATGCCTGCCAGGAGCAAATATCTTTTATCTACTGTAACCCATTGTAAGAGTAAGTTGTAAGTACTATTATCTTGTCAGAAGATACTGTTAAATAACAATGGTGTCGTAATCCTGGAGGTTCAGTGAAAACAAGATTATGTTGTAAGCCGGAAGAGACTGTTGTGAACAAAGAGTAGTGTTGTAACAAGCCTGGAAGTGCAGGGGCTTAGCTTATATACTAGAAGAAATAGTAGTAGAATGCCGGGGGATTCAGATTTGTTGTTTGACAAAGCAGAGTAACGGTTTAGTTAAAAAAGGACAATGTCCCCCGGAAGGAGAATTCTCTCATTTTCTGCTTCCATATATTTTTTGTTCATAAAATCTGTTTATAGTAATATTTTAGGTCGAGTACAGGATAGTAAAGTTCTTACAAATCCCCCAATATAACAAGAAGCATAATACTTTAGCAGTCTTCACAACAATAATCATGTCTATTCTAGAAACCAATACCTAGTATCATGCGGGGTGATGAATATCCACTGTGATCCTTGAGCCTCAGCAAAATCAACCAGAGTGTCCAAGCTGATTTTTCGGCTCACTGCATCCTGAAGATCAAATCCAAAATCCATAGTAGGAGACTTTATTAAGAAATGGATTCCCAAACTTCACATAATACACAATAGAAACTGGATGTGAAATTTCAAATGACTATAGACAATGACACCTAAAAATAATAGTCAAGGGAGCGACAAAAAATATAGCACCATAATTTAGACCATACAAAGGCAAAATAATAATGATGATGCTAAGTTAACAGTAGTAAACACGTATACCATAAAGACATCAAATTCATCCATTGCTCTAAAAGGGGCCTCTGTCATTTCATGAAGGGCCAATGCAAAGCACAATGTTGAAAAAGAACGCTCCCCACCTAATTATCAAAAAATATATAAATAAATATACTCAAACAACATCTAATGAAGATGTAAAATAAAATGATATTGTCCAATATATGGCCAAAATGTTAAATAAAAAATAATCACCAGAGGAATATGATGATTAATTTATATAAAAGTAGAAAGCAACACCTATTTAGACATATTATATTAATGTCCATTTAATTCATCATTGAATAAAAAATATTAGGTTACAAGTCTTAGTTATGGGATGGGGCCTGTGCTAGTACTAGGACATAGTATAAACAGGTGCGTTGGACAATTTTATGAAAGAGAAACATATTACTACATAATATGATGTTAGAAGTCATTCTTTATTTTCCATTTTCCTGTGCTAAAACGTTAAGTTTCAACATAAAACATTGATATAAATGACTGTTCCCAAAGTCTGTCTGCTTTGAGAAATTGAAATTACAAGAGAAAGATGAACAGATATTTTATCCTACAATGGTGAGTGTCTTCATTTTTCATCCTAAGATGACAGCACATTCATCATTATTATCCTACAACAAACCTGAAAGCCCTCGAGTGTCTCGAACAGCTCTGTTTGACGTATCTTGGGGCATTTGTACCTAAAACAAATGAAACAAAATAAAATAGGGAAACAGGTTTGGTCACAGGCACTGAAATCTAAGAAACATATTTAAGCATGTAACAACCAAAGTTTAACATATAACACAATTTAACACTAATTTATATCAACTTACCACAAAAAGGTTAACAACTAAATATAAAAATTTTGCAGATACGAAAAGGGGGTAAAAGACATTGCAATAGAAATACATATAACAAATGAAAACTAACTTTACCTCAATCATTAAGGTTTTCTCCTCATAATTAACTTTGATAAGTCCACTGATCCCCTTCTTTCTCAAATGGCCATTAAATCTAAGCATGAGGATGATTTCAAAAGTTAACTTTAAATGGAAGAAACAATTCCTTGTGACAGTGGAACAACGTAGTAACAAAGATGATGGTGAAAGGATTCATACTTCCAAGAAAGCTGGTGTTTCAAATAAGTAGCATTTCTCTGAAACTTTCTCTGTCGTAACTCTAAGGCTCTCTGGCAAGCCTGCAATGGAATACTTAAATTTGCTCCATAAATGCCATTAAACAAAAAAAAAATCATGTCAAAAAGTGTCTGCAATAAATGATGAATGGAGACTTGTTTCCAACAGAAGTTTAATCACAATTACACATTCATGCACTGGCACATATAATCCATTGCCTAGAGCAGACCATAAAAGGCCAAAGTAGTTACGTAAGTTCAATTAACCAAAAGATCTAAAGCATGTGGACATATCTTTTCATGTTTTATGGTAAACCACGGAGATTTTATAACTACTTGAACCCAAGTGATAAATTCACACATACCAACCAACGTCAAATTGGAGGAAGTGACTACCAGTCAGCTTAGTCCAATAACACAAAAAAAACAAATATCATCATGTGAACCTTTATGAGTTCATTACTGTAATTTCTGTAAAGTACCATAGCCCAGTGAAAGTCTTAACATTAAGTTTTAACCCGATAACCCAACTTCAGAAAATAACCTTGTTCTAAAACAAAAATAAAGAAAGGTATTAATCCACATTAGCATTTATTTTAATAGGATTACTAAAGGCTAGAAACCATAGTGCGTAGAAGTAAAGATCTAAGTAGAATTGTTATATCTGTCATGAACCAACTGCCCTAAAAGCTTAAGCTTTTGGGTATAAGTGAATGAAAGGTTTTATATCTAGCACAACTCACACAAGAGCCCTTAGCACTTGAAGTGAGGACAACACATTCCTTACTCATGCTGAAATTTAATTTATTTAGGAAATTAATGGAATAAAAAGGATTGACCTCTAGACCACAAGGTTATAAGGGTTTTGGCAGTATCTCATGAAGCAACTAATACCAAAAGCTAAATCTTTTGGTTGACCGCACACAAGTGGCTTTATATCTAACAACTTCCATAATAATTGCATTAACGGTAAGAATAAACACAACCAAAGAATACATACATCCAATTTCTGTCGAAGTGTTTTGTAAACCTGCTGCCTTTTTATAATCTTACGTTCTTTTTTGTCATACAGCATCCTAAGATCATCAATTGATTCAGAATACCTACAAAGCGAAACCAAAAACAAAGAAAATCATTATACAGGCACTCACACATATAGAAAAACAAGTTCTGCTGAGATGTAGTAACACAACAATGCAAATCAATATTATAATGTCATACCTTTGGCTCTCACGTCTAAGAGTCTGATTTAATCCTTCCAATTGGGCACTGATTTGCTCTGGGGTATGCCCATCACAACCTCCTAATGAATCAAGCTCATTCAGCGAGCAAATTATAGAAGCCTTTTCAACACTTTCCTGCAGTTTCAACCAAGGTTGGCATCAGGAATATGTAGGTACTAATATACCTATTATAATTTAAAATACATAGGGAGCTATCCGAAAATGCTTATATTTTAGTTTAAAAAATCCCATAATTCATATTTCCTGGGGACTTGGTTAAGCTAACAGCAGATTTCATAGAATAAATAGTAAGATGATCTTCATGACATAAATATATAATTTTGTTTTTTAACAAGTACTAATGAATTTCAAGACATCAAAGGATGGGAATATACAAGCAAAATATAAAGTATAAAAACATATTCAAAAAGTCACACCGGTTGGACAGAAACAAGAATGATTGCCTAAAATCCAGAGTCTAACAATACTAAACAGAAAAGGTGAGTCCAAATGATACTACAATAAACAAGTTCTAGGGAAGTTTAGAGATAGCTGGATAAATGCCTAAGATGGAAGGTTCTTTTTGTATCCACAACTGAGTGTTAAAAGGATAATAAGGTCCTTTAGAGTGGTGCATTTCTAACGGCAGTATGGAGTATCCAGCTTGAAGAAAATCCCAGAATTTATAACCACATATTTCTCCATACAGAGCTTATACGGCACAGATTTGTTGTCTTGGCTTCCTTGAAAGTTTTTGTTCATTGGGTTTCTCAAGGATGTTTCCATGTCAAACATGCAATGGGACTGACTTGCTCTTCTGAGCTGAAACATTTTCTTTTCTTGGTAATGCTTCTTGTGCCCTTTGTTGCTCTAGTAGGATCTTTGTTCTTCTGATGCAATATAGCATAAGAATAAGAATAGGGCATGCTTGCAGGATTAGGAATAACAGGATATTTATATAAATTGGGTTGTTATAGTTACTTGGGTATTTATTGGCAATTTAGTGTCATTTGGACATTTTGAATAATTTCATACTTTTGTATCGCTTGGCTATCAATCTGGGAGAACTAGTCAATGGCAGTTTCCATGACACATGAAACAAGTCATTACAAAAACCAATGGGTCCTGAGGTTTTCTGATGTCCAAATCTTTCCCAAATGAGCTATCCAAACAGGAAGAAAAAGAAAATTATGCAGACGTGATCATGCCCAACAATTTATATTTTGAAATGTCATTTACATCATGGAAAAACAGTAAGTATTATTTTGAATAATTTCTGAATTGGCAAGCTAAAAGCTTATGTTCCAATTCATTGACCAAGGCAGCAATTGAAAAATCTTATGGGAAGCTTATAAAAATAGTTTTTATAATCTAATTTATAATATAAGCCCACATGTGATAAATGATGGTTTATAGATAAATGATAGGTATATAGATAAATGATGGTTCAATCTACATATTTACATCACTAATCTAAATCAAAAAGCACCTCGCGCCTCTTTGTAAGATCAAGATAGTGTACTTCTGCCTCCTTAATATCAACTAAGACTTTGTTTTTCATGACACCATCATAATGATCCTTTGCCTGTAAATTTTTTTTAACAAAAACATCAAACACAATTTAAAAATAAAAGGATAGAAGATATTGTCAGGTATTCACTAATAAAGAAAAACCTTTTTTGTCAAACCCATTTCTTTTTCAATTTCCATAAGTTCACACTCAGCTTTCTCTAGGGCAGCAATTTCCACGTTTGCTGATTCTACATTTTTATGGCATCCAATAGAATATGCATCACATGAGATTTCAACAATTGAATCAGCATAACTGCATATGATCACACACACAAAAGAAATAAATAGTACTATATCATACCACACAGTTTGTCAAATTCTACTTTAAGATCATCTGCTTTTCCTGCTGCTTCACACCCTTTTTGCTGAAGGCCTTCCAATGTCATTTGCTCTTGTTTTATTTTTTTTTCAATTTCCTAGTGTTCAATTAGAATAAAACATTCTTTATACTTACAATTAAAAGAATGCATTATGAAATGTGCATTAGGGACCAGCACCATGTTTTAAAAAAAAAATTGGGCATAAGGCATAAGAAAAATCCCCAGGGAAGCAAGAAGCACGTTTCAGACAACTCTAGTATTCAAATAAAGTCTCCTTAATTGTTCAGTTTTAATGTCTCTTCATACTTACTAGCTTGAAAAGTAAACTTCATTACAATTTCTAATCCTTTACCACAATATCCTTCCTTTTTTACAAATTCTATAAGATTATCACTACAATTTGAGCAAAATTCAAAAGCAATTACACAAAACTTACTGTAAAACTAGTTTATTTTCATGACAGATCCAATTATAAGTTTCTTTCCTATATGACAATTGATTACTTTGCTCATATTAACAAGGGCATTAATGTGAAGTTGTCTTGATTTTATTTTTTTTTCCCCTTTCGGCTCTTCTGTTCTTGTTACCTACTGTTAGCAGAAGTGTGGGGAAAAAGACATGATCCACCAAAAAGTTGCATCCCTCAATGTCCCCCACCCCCAAGCACAAAATGGAAATATTTTCAGCAAATGTTTGTGCCTTCACCAAACTGTTAATAACACTGCACGGAAAAAGTAGGATGTCTTGTTAAAGAATTGAATAGATGATAGGGAACAAACTGAAATTTCTTTAATGAGCTCATCAACGGAGGACAAAGGTGTTGAACTATTTTCAGCAGTGCGCAAATGCATTGCCTCCTCCAAAGCAAACTTCTTAGAAGTCAAACTTTTTCCTGCATTTACACAAAGCCTCTACAAGAAGCAAGAAAACAAAACAAGTAGCAGACGAAGCACACATCAGTAAACATGAGATGAAAAATGTCATATCCTCTTACTGTTTCAGTCTGCAAATTATCCTACTCACACAAAAGTGACAAGTATTCTAAACAGTATTAATTAACTTACATTTTAAAATTTTTCTCTCTTTTGAAGGCATGACACTTTTATATGAATAGGAGGATTTGTAGGCTGAAATAGTAGGTGGATAAAGCAGTTCTCGTATGAGATTATATCGAAAGCCAAAAAACTAAAGAATTGACATTGCATATTATTTTATAAACACTTGAGTCTAAACTTATAGGGAAAAAAATCCTTGACTTTGACTGATCTGTTCTTATTAGGAACGATGTTATATAAAGGTTGAGATCACACGATGTTATATAAAGGTTGAGATCACAGTGACTTCAATTTTACCATTAAGATAAAATTTAGCAAATCAGACCTGATTATATCCCAATTACATAGGAAGAAAGCAATCGAAAAACCACCTAGACACAGATCTTTCTCTTTTAGTGAAATCTGAAAACATACTTTAAAATGAAATATTATCCTCGTAGAAATGTTATATTTCATCCTAATAGTTGTTAATAATGGACTATAGAACTTAGACCAAAATGGCATAAAAAATTAAGCAAACAGCACAATAATGCTAAATTTATTTCAAAAGATATTTTGAAGAAAGCAAAAAAAATTCAATAGTATAAAATCTAAGCAATATTTTACCTTTATAGAATTCATATTCTTGTCAAGCTCCTCAAGCTTGATCTCTGCCTCTCTTTTATTCTTTTTACAGTCATAAGCTGCCTTTTGTTCATCAGATGCTTCAATATGAAGATTCTCAATCTCATCATCGAAAGAACCAGAAAGACGACCAGTCCTTTGCCTCTTATTCGGAGGAAGAACAGTCTGCACTGAACCTCGCGAAAACCTAGAAAGAACTTAGATTAGAAAACACACTTCCTAACTTATAACTTGAAGATGCATGCATACACGAGATTTCCAACAATCTGAGGCTTTGAGCCATATTACAGAACACTAAAACTTATGTAGTGAATCAACAAAAGGGGTTGGAGCTTGGAAACACACAGATGCTTTTGGTATTGAAAGAAAATAGAAAATATGCTAACAGACAAGACAAGTATTGTATTTCAATTTTCAACACATTGGAACTATCAAGGACCAACTAGCCTGTAAGGTTAAGCTGATAGGCAGACATTTAGACATAAAAAATGGTTATATATCTTCAAACCTGCCACCTCACCCAACAGCGCTTTGTGCTTGGAATATTAACAATGCACAAGACCACTTTAGTACTACCATTTCTGTAGAAACTCCTAATTAGGAAGAATGGCTGCAAGCCTGCAACAAGGACCTAATCCCAAAACACTTTATCACTAAGGCTCTAAGCCTCTAAGACAGTGTCAAGGAAACTCACCGATCATACATATTGCAAGAAAGAAAGTAGCTACACAATAACCAAGGTAAATATTAATAACCTTTTGTTTGTTGCATAGAAAGGGGGTAAAAAGATTGGAAAGGGAAGCCCAGACTGACAAGAGAGACACCTAAGACACCATGGCAAGGAATTCACAAACACTCTCCTGCCAAGCAATCAATAGTTCAACCCAAGAAACTCAAAATCAATATATACTGGAACCTAAGCACTGTCCCAATCAGTAAAATAGAACCTTGTCATCTCTAAATCTATAAGTTTCTGCCAACTGTGTATTTTACTCAAAGATATCACTTAAATAGGAATCACAAGTAAATAAGAAATTATCTATTGACACAACCAGAGATGCATGTAGGACACACGGATAGCAATGTCAATTAACATTGACTTACATTCTACATCCATCAGCAGCATAGACCTCCTTCAAATTTCGGATCCTTTGTTCAAATGCAACAGCTTTCCCAGCATCATAATCATTAACAAGCACTTGTCTCTCAACATTTCCCTAGAGAAGTAATAAACTTATTAGAAATGCCTACAAATTATAAGGAACTCAGATTTCCTTTTTAATTTGTTGACCACATTTTGTTCTTCCACATAAAGAAGATAAGCATAATCACCAGATAAAATCAGAAAAACACAGCTAATTGAGAGCATGTGTGTGTTTACACATGTACATACAAACTTGTATAAAAGAAATTGATTAAGATGAAGAGACTTCTAATACTTTTTTTTTTAATTCAAGTTTTACCAGCCGATATGTTTGGTATACATTGTCAATAAAACTTGCCTTGTCTAGATACAACTTACCATGTAAAATGCCAAACCAGCTTTTAATTACAAATATAAAACTAGTTTTTTGCCCAAGAATGCAGCTTTTATGGTAGAATTAAGGAGCCTGAGTTAAAAGAAGCATTGAAGAAGACAGATAATGGCAAAACAATCAGATCATTAATATACTTACTGATTGAGGTATTGAAAGGTATACAAGATAAAGGCATTTGTTGGCTGACAAAGTTGTTTAACAAAATTATGAGGTCTAAGAAAATGTTGAACAGGTAGAGGAGCACTTCATTAGAAAATTAGGCCTAACTTACTCTCAAAAGCTAGCTCAAAGAAGGAGGGTTGTCTAAGCCTTATAAGAAGTATTCTAGTTCTATTCCTAACCAATGGGTGAACTTTACAGGATTAGACATCTGTTGACGGCCCAACATTCAAATTGTGAAACCAAAGAAATATCCTAAAAGATGAGAGAACTACATTCCAGTCACATACACCAAAGAGAGGCATAAAAATGCCACAAGAATTTGGCTTCATTTTCTTCTCCCATATATAGCCAAGCTAGTCAACAAGAACTAGTCCAAGGACATAGGGAAAACTTGGCACTCTCCAAAATGCCAAATGAAGAATTCCACAAAGAAACAGCTACAGAATAATGTAAGATCATATGGGGCTTACTGAGCATACAATTAATATTGGAAGTGATTAATGAATAGTCAAAAAGCATAGAACATAAAATTACTATGATAAAGGAGATTATAATAAAAGAGATTCAAAAGAATAGGTATAAGTTATCCTCCAAGTCCCAAAGCAGCATTTAGAAAAGAATGGAAAAAGACAAAAGAAAAAAAGCATAATCTATAAAGAACTTCCATTTCCTTTCAATAAGCAAGAATAAAATCCGCGAAAAAGGATATTAATTACAGTATAAGCAAAGATTATTCAATTACCAGATCCACTAAGACATTAGTCACGGTGTGATTCTCACATTGTAAGACAGAAAGTATTGATGGATGTTTTGTATCAGGAAGCATGTGATGTGGTATTGTCAACCTACATCATAAAGTAAAAAAAAAAAACATTATCACAATTAGACATAACCAGCAGAAAAGAGAATGGGACAGCCAGACAGACAAGGAGCTAATGGTGTACCTCGGGGTTGAAAAATCATAAATAATAATTTGAAGGTGACCATAGTTTACTTCGCTTGCACATTGTTTCAGAAGACGAAAATCTGAGTGATCAGTCACTATAAAAGAATTGAGCAATCTCCCAATGGCATATTCAAGGGCAACCGCCCATTTATTACCATGAAGCAACTTCTGTTAAACCATATAAACAATCCAAATAATAATTTGAACGGCAGGAAAGTAATTAACATACAACAGCCCATTTATCAATCTTAAGCAACTCCAGTTAAACCATAAAAAGCAATAGCAAATAATAATAATTTAGTACGACAATTAAACTCTACAGAAACAGCCATGTGAAGAAACCCAAAAAGAAGAAAATAAACCATATTATATCCCAAATATGACTCACTGGAGAAAAATACCGACCAATGAAATTAAAATTGTATAATTATATCACCATATTCTTTTTTTTCTTTCTCCAAGAAGGAACAGCTGTCCATAGAAGATACTTCATTTGATTTAAACCAACAGAATCTGTGTATAAACCAAGAAAGCAATGTGCAAGATATGACAAGATGGTATCACAAAATATATTACCAGGTGGGCACCAATTGGACCTATCGGAGGCATCTTGAACCTTTCATGATATCTCTCAATTATACGTAACAGATTCATCACTTTATCTCCTCCAAAAACAGCAATCTGCTTCAGAATAAGATTGTCAAAGTCATGAAGTACTGTTGATGGAACACTAAAGTAAGGAATTTTGATGAAAATGTCCTTAGTCTGTTGGATCTAATGTGGAAATGAACAAAATACATAAACATGAAAACAAAAACCTACACTCTAAGCTTAAAAAAATAGCAAAATTTGCCATACCCGATTGCTTTGGTTTTGCTGAAGATCATGGATTTGATGTGTAATACCATGATATCTTTTTTCATGAGCATGGATCTACAAAAAGCAAATGAATTATACTAACAAAATGAATGTTAAAATAAACAAAACAGAAGAGCTTCCAAAATGATATTTAACTGCCAAAAAAATACATCTTCAAGCCAATAGTCATAAAAATTAATAATTTGAAGGTACATTCAGCCACGGCCAGAAACAACATAATGCATTAAACTAATGTTGCTTATGTTGCAGAGTGTGAATTTCTTCAACTTCAAACAACAAACCATTAAATGCCTTATAAAGTATATGTATTAGCAATTGCTCAAATTAAATTGTGATGGAAGTTTGAATACAGGGAGAAACAAGCTCCAAGAATTTAATTAAACCCAATGATCAGGGGGAAATATTGAGAATAGCCCCTGGTGTTCATGGATGTATAACAGAGATGAGAGAGAAATTAATGTTTTAGAATTTGTATTGATGATGTTATACCATCATGAAAAGGAAATGTATCCCATAAGGATAAGGTGGTTACAATATGCACTAAAAGAGGGAAAAGGTTTTAACAAACTTCTCCACTGCTCAAGTATACAGTGAAAATGACTTGTCACATCAGCAAAACACATTAAAAGGAAAAACCAAATAACCATGCTAACATATGAAGGCTAAAATATAGAGTGTGAACATAAAAGTATAGATTACAGCATTTATAGATGATACTATATAAATACTGTAACATAAATTGGAGGAGTTTACAGAATTTACAGTCTTAACAACTCTAGTTACCCCTGTAAAACATATTTTAAATTATTTCTGCAGATTTGAAGACCAGCCAGAGATTCTTGGATTCAGAAACAAGCAACAGATTCTTCATCCAGAACATTTTCTATATTAAAGGTTGGATTTCTAGAGAGCTTTACAATTTCAATAAAGACTTCTCAAGAGAGAATCTGATAAGAACCACATATTAGAACCACACCACAAAAGTTAGTTATTGTAGTGGGAGAGCCCAAGGCAACCCCATATTAGAATTTCATACTTCCAATGTGGGACTCAAGTCCCATGCCTTGCAATCGAATCCTAAAAGCCCACCATGCTCCGCAGCCCCGACGCTCACGTGGGCTGGCTGTGCACTAGCCCCTTTGACTGGTCCCAGGCATAGTAGTCAATCAATCCAGCATAATGCAGCTGACACCAAAATTGCTATAGTGGGATGACCACTATTTTAGGCATTTTAAATATACCTAATATAAATTAAACTATGCATATATATGCTGAGAAGGAAAATAGAAAAAAGAGAATGTTTAGTCACCAGAAATTGTGCAGGTTTGCCAAAAATTTCGCCTGAGATATAGAAGATGGCCTGAAATGTCTGCGTGACATCAGAAGCTTTGCTGGACTTGAAGAAGACAACTAAAAACAGTCTGGGTCAGGTTGGAGGCTTCACCAGAGATGAAGAAGATCAATGAAGAATGTCTCTGTCGCGTTAGAAGCCTTGCTGGAGCGGAAGGACACTGAAAGCAGTGGAATCACAAAGAACAGAGATGAAAACACAGAATGAAGGAGAACTGAGAGATAAGAATGAGAGGGCTTAGGGCTTCGTGAGGAGGGAAAGAGAAGATATCAAAAACTACGAGGGGAGGAAAAATCCCAAGATTGTCCCCCTCAAAAGTCGCCAACGTTAAAAAACAGAGGAGCAAATCTGAATCTCCATAGCAGCCGCGACAGCTACTCCTCTAAAACGCAACTGAATCACCATAGCGGTGCCCTGCGCTATTGACTACTATGGTCCCAAGCAAACACTGCAATGCCGGCATCACCACCAGCACTGCTTGTTTGCAGTTGGAAGACATGGTGGAAGGCACTGACACCAATTGATAAGAACATTGAGAAAACGACACCAGTTATTGTAATGGAAGAGCCCAAGGCTTTATAAACCCCACATTAGAATCTCATACTTCCAATATGGGACTCAAGTCCCATACCTTGCAATAGTATCCTTAACAAAATCTCACTCTAGGGAGAATAAGAGTAAGCCAGCAAAGAGGACACCAAGAGCATCAAGAGTCTAAATTTTCTTATTCTAATTAAGTATCTGGACTCATAAAAACATCATGCATCCAAAATTTTAGAAAACTATAGAATCAGATGGTACAAATTGGCCCTTATAAAGCATAGTTAAGCTGTTTTCTAGCATATTTTGTTGGAGCACAATGCTAGCATTTTTAAGGGTGCTCATTTATTAGAATTTCCAGAGCAGAAATAAAATAACCAAAAATGAAGAACAGTTCAGAGAGAACCAGAGTTATGAATCTAATGTAAATTACTTTTTAAGTTATCTAAAGAGATCTGAATTCCGAGGAAACCCCTCTAAGAGACTAACCAACCAACAGTTGTCAGTCGTAACAGAATGATGCTCAGTGCATACAATTTTACACAAGCATATTAGGAAACTTAACCAAAGCTAAAACTGACATCCTTTAACCCTATATCTGTTATTGATAGGCTTACATTGATGGTCTTGCTTTGGATTTCTGGCATAGCTCCTTTCTTTAAAAAACATTGTATTAAAAATAGAAAAAGAAAGCACACCCAGTTCTTTGCATAGCCATTCTGACAGACACTTCATTTGCTACATGAGAAAGTAGACAGACTTATTGTATTTTTTGTTTCATTATGTTCATAGTTTCTTCAAGTTTGACTGCAATGTAGGAAACCTTTCATCCTCCCCTCTTTGCATTTTCCTGGTGTTTTCTCCAACAAAATTGCTCATTTTTTAAATCAAAAAATCTTCCAAAGTGGAAAACATAAAGAACAGGGCACAAGCAAGCGTGTCACATTTGTAAATCTAAGTCATGACAAGTGCAAAATTCATTTTTCCAAAGGTTACAAAGCCAGCACTCATCATGAAGAAAGAAACTTGCAGCTTATTATCTGTTACTCTGTACAAATCAATTTATTGATAATGGTTCTTAAAGTCCAAAATTCAGATTTATTGCATGTTTGGTTTAGTTTATTCTAAAGAATTAATCAACTCTTTTCAACATTCTAAAATTTGAAAAAAAATATTATATATATATATGGAGAAGGATCATTCTCATACTAGTGTAAGTTTAAAAACTTTTACACTCGATCTGAACTTTTCTTTTAACTTACATTTAACAGCCAATAAAATAATAAATTATAATCTGTCAAATGTAAATTAAATGAAAAGTATAATAGTTTTTAAACATACACTGGTGTGAGAAGATTTTGCCCCTATATACAGCTTACACAAGACTTAGATTTACAATAAAAAAGTATAAAAAGCTTGTCAAAAAATTCCATCAAAGGAACCAAAACTGAAACCATAAACAAAATTTGTTGGCACAACAACCAACAAGAGAATACAGATCTAGCAACACACCTTATCAGCTATCTTTCGGATTTCATCATTTTGCCTATGTATGCTGCTCATTAGCAAAGCCTCTTCTTCTTTCAATCTAGCACAGGAACAAACTATTAGGAAATGGAACTTCAAATTCAAGTAAAACACACAAATATGAAAAACTGCACAATAAAATCATTAACCTTTTCAGCTCTAACTCAGCAGCACGAACCTCATCTTGAAGCCCCTTCAGTTTCTCCTCCAATTCAGATTCTTCAGCCTGCATTATTATGAAAAACAAGAGCATTTAAGCTTATAAAAAGGAATGGGACTGTTATCATATATTAGTCATTTCAAACTAGGAAGTAGATCAAAACCAGGGTACAAAGAGTGATATAGCAATAGCAATGTTTTTTGGACATTTGAAACATCAAAGTTAACATGATATATCAAACATCAATATTGTTAAAAATGTCTTGTTATGCATTATATTTATTTAATTTGAATACTTGGAAAATTATTATATTTAATTTATTATATAGAAAAAATTAACACTGCATCATATTTTCAACATTTAAAACTGGATGAGATTACAATTTATTATGTAAAGAAAAACATTAAACTATTTTCAATTTTGAATTGGAGATCTTTCCCAATTCAAGAATCAGCATTTGGATTTGGATTTTGTTTCATACTGTAAGAATTATCATATCCAAATTTAATGACAAGCTGTGAAAAAATATCGCAAGAAACCAACAAGCAAAGAAAATGTTTACTAGTCAGAGAAAAGAACCACACCTTTTGATAACTTTAAAAAATTAAATTGGAAAAATAAGCAAAAACACCACAAAGAAAACAAAGCATTTGGATTTGCAATTTTGTTTCATACTGTAAGAATTATCATATCCAAATTTAATGACAAGCCGTGAAAAAGTATCGCAAGAAACCAACAAGCAAAGAAAATGTTTTACTAGTCAGAGAAAAGAACCACACCTTTTGATACCTATAAAAAATTAAATTGGAAAAATAAGCAAAAACACCACAAAGAAAATAAAGCAGTAGCAGAGACATAAAGTAAGGAACAAGAACCATAAACAAACAAATTATCCATAACCAGGGAATTGGAGAAACCTGGGTATTTTTTACATGCTGCTCCTGAATATCCTGCACTTGTTGTTTAAGTGTTTTAAGTTGCTTTACCATCTTCTGTATGTTGCTAGTTTTGCATTTACAGTCGTGCTCAAGTTCGAGTGCTTCTTTCTTGGCCTTCATGGGGGTGGGAGGAAATGAATTGACAACAGACAGAACAACAAGTATGAGAAATAAAAATCAAAAGCATGATAATGATAAAAGTATAAAAATAATCATCCTAAAAGCGAAAGTATCCGAGACCCAATAGTTCAAGTAAAACGACAAGCATAAAGCTGAAGTAACAGGGCATAAATCAGAAATGGTAAAACAAAGAACGAAAATTATCAGTCCTGTTATGCTATGAAACTTTCATCTACATATTGTCCAAAAGCATCTGACAAAAAGGTGATTAGCAGTAAAATCTCTCACTTCCAACATACCAGAGACACAGATTGGTTTAAATTTCCTTTCATTTGCTTAACTTGTGATGTCTTTTCCAACATACTTGCAATTTCAACTTTCTTCTTGGAGCAGCTTTCCCTTAACTTTTCAATGCAATGCTGCAAAAGAAATTATAGTCCAATTTATTGCCATGTAATATAATAAACACAGAAATAGAAACAGTTGAAAATAGCAGACATATTCTTAAAATACAGTATGGAAAGTCATATTCTTAAACCACAAATACAGTATGAAAACTTTACTGAGAGACTAGCACAAGGCCTAAATAATACATACCAGTTGTTGATCAATCTTAGCTTGGCAAGTAGGAATCCGGTTTTTCAGCTTTTCAATCTTTACATTTTGTTCCTCTAGCTGCTTGTCCACATCATAAACCCATGACCACGCAAGTTTCTTCTTTAACTGCTGAACCTGCATGGATATTAGTTCAACATGTTCCATACTTTTAATTTTAACTTGCAGCTCATTAAGTTCCTTCTCTATGGGCCTTATTGCAGTCTCTAATTCTTCAACTATTACATGTGCAGTAGTTATTTCATTGGATATGCTTTCCAGAAGATCATTGACTTGCTGAAGAAGTGTGGCCTTGTAAAAAAACTGTTTAATGAAGTGTCAGCATTGCTTCTTAATAAGCTTTAAGAAAATAATAACATCAACATGAAGAGGTAACCTTAAATTTATCTTTGTTATTCCCAGAATGCAAAAATTCTCTGCTTTTGTCTTGACTCATAATTACACAAGGATTCTCCACATCAATCTGCAAAACAAATAGATTGAAGAAAAGTTGCAAGAAAAATAAAAGAACAGGAAAAGGAATTGTTAAATATATGTAATTATAGTAATAAGGCAAGTTTATCTTTGTAATTATGTTAATTAGGCAACTGAATATTATGTAAATATTTTGTAATTATTGCTATTATCAACATAAATATATGCTCCATTATATAGTTGAAACACATGGATTCATCCACATGTTCTCTCACTTTTCTCCCGTTCAACATGGTATTAGAGCCTAACATGAGACTAACTTTAATTTGTATATCTTTGGTGGGCCTACTGCCCATTAGTAAAATTTTTTACCAGAAAATGTCTTCATTTATGGTTTCCAGTCTTCTTCACTACTGTTTACCACTGGTATATTGATCTAACAACTTTTTGCACTGTTTCAAAAACTTTTTTTGGTGACTTTACGGTTGGTGACTATGCAATTTGAACCAGCTCGTCATGCGCAACCCAACACAGCTGGACCTACATCGATTGGAGCTTCAATGTGCCCTCACTCACTGCAGGGGGTGGCAGCACGTGACGCAATTTCTCCAACCTTCACTGACACCAACAGCCATTTCCTTTTCCTTCTGGATTTGTGGGTAGTTTGGTTGTTTTTGCTTCCTTTAGCCATTGTTTGGCATTTTTACAATATTCACGCTAGTTTCTCTTGGTTTTGCTTTGTCTCATGGCCCAAGTAGCATTATGTGCCCCTAGTTATGCCCTCAACATTGGCTCATCTTTATATCTTATTAAGAAAAATTAGGGATTAACCCTAATTACAAAACACACTGTAGAACTTCGAGGGTCTGCATCTCTCAATGCCATAAAAGCCCAATTTCCTCTCACACATCACATGCGGATAATCTCCCTTCTTATTTACCGGCAACATGCCTTATTCAAACTAATTCACCTAACACCCCTCTCTAAAGCTTCACCTTGCCCTCAAGGTGAAGGATTACATAACTCCACTAGGGTCCCACTGTCTAAAGCATAAAAATTGCTGTCTCTTTTCCCCATAGCTAGAGATGCAACAGTAGCATAAGTTTCCCCCCACAATCAATGAGTATTACCACCTTCCTTCCTCCTATCATCCCCCATAGCTTCCATGAAATTTTGGAACAAAGCCTGGCAATGGTGTACAAAGATAGTTGAAGAGCCTTATAACTCCCTTCATCTTGCTTCTAGCAATCCCTAGTTTTTGCCTCATCCTCATCTGCTATCTACATTATCATAACATGCTAACATTAATTCTTACAAACATGCTCAGGTCCATACTTCTCATCACATCTAAAGCATAACCCTTTTTTTAACTTGTCCCGAACCTCTTCATTTGATAATTGCCTCAATCCTCCAATTCTTCCTCGGTTCAAGCCTTGGCTTTCCCAATATATTGTTGGAAGATACTGCAGATGAAACTCCTCCCACCGTCCCTGTTGGCAAATTCTTTGGAGTAGATTCAAGTGTGATTGTTCTTGTAGTTGCAGCAGTTGTATTTCTGTATTCTCCACTTGGCCAACCCCTTACTACACTTCCTCTGCTATTCAAGGCCAGAGTCTTTCGATCAATCATGTCAGCTTTGTCCATCATGTCAAATAGTGAATTTGGTTCATGTAACCTCACCTCTTCCCTTATTTCCTCCTTCAACCCATTCAAGAAAGATCCCTATCAAATATTCTGGGTCTGTCCCTCTCAAAGGTCCAGCATACAATTCAAATTTCTCCCTAAATTCCTCCACTGGTCTTGTTTGCTTCAAGCTTAATAATAGTTCAAAAGGATTATATGTCATAGAAAGTTGAAATCTTCAAATCAGTGTTAGTGTTGCCTTCAATCCTTCCCATGATGGATTAGGAGTGCAAGATTCCCACCATTGAAACCATCACAACGCCTTTCTTTCCAAAGCTACCATCATTGCTTGCAATTTCTCATCTTTGGTGACCCTTTTAATATGAAAGTACCTCTCTATCCAATTAGCCGACTCATGCATCTTCGCCACAAAAAACAGGAATTTCAAACCTTCTACATCAATCTCCTACTAACTCCTTAAAGTTCTCGCCTTCCTCCTCTATTCCACCTGGTGCGCCCCCATTTCCACTTCCACTAGGCTAAGGACCACCCCTTTCGCTTGCGATTCTGTTCATATTGTTAGCAAGGTTCTCTATTGTCTCTTCTATCTTCTTGAATTGTGCTTTTAGAAGTTCTTCCCTTGTTTCTTGCATTTCTTTATCTTTAGATGCTTGTAACTACTCAGCCTCCCTTTCATTCTTCCAGCTTTCAAGAACCCTCTCCATTTCCTACAAGTGTGACTCCATCTGAGTGTGGACCATGTATCACAGCTCCCTAGTTTGAGAGCTTTGATACTAGTTCATAGAAACTACATATCTTTATTAAGCAAAATTAGATATGAGCCTAAATACAAAAAATACACTGCAGAACTTTGAGGATTTGCACCTCCCAATTCCATAAAAGCCCAATCTCCTCTCAAAAATCACCTGCCATCCCTCTTTAATCTCCCCTCTCATATATAGGCAACATGCCTTGTTCAAACTCACATAACTAACCAACTAATGGATAACTAAATAACTACTAATGGGGGTTAACTAGGTAATATATTTAAACAAACTCTTAATAGGGGGGAGGGGGATTACCTAACAGGTACAAGGAGCGTCCTCTAGCTCCACTACCTTCGTTGTGCACACCAATAATCCCTTCATTGATATTCCTCATACTCGTCTTGCCTTATGGGTCCTTGATTCTAGGACTACTCACTATATTTCAATTTTTTTACTATGATATTAAAAATCAACTTGGTGTTTTCATTCGTACATTGCATAGTGATAATGCTTGTGAATATTTGTCTCAAGCTTTTTAAAATTTTATGGCTTATAATGGCATTCTTCATCAAACTTCTTGTACCCATACCCCTCAACAGAATGGAATTAATCAAAGAAAAAATACACCTTAATGAAACTACTCACACTCTTTTTCTTTAAAATAATATTCCTCATCATTTTAGAGTGATGCTGTCCTTATAGCCTATTATTTAATTAATTGGATGTCTTCTTCCTTCTTTAACAATCAAATACTGCACTCTCTCGTTTCCTGATTAATCTTTACATTCTCTTCCTCCTTGTGTCTTTGAATCCACTAGTTTCTTCATAATCTTAGTCAATGACTTGACAAGCCCTCTATTTGTACTCACAAATATGTTATTCTTGGTTACACTCAATCGCAAAAAAGTCATGAGTATTACTCTTTGACTCTTAATCGTTATCTCATCTCAACTGCTGTTACCTTATTTTAGTCGATTGTTTTTTGGGTCTTCTCCTTCTCTTTCACCTTCTAAATCTCATTTTGAATCTATCACACTTCCCTTTTGTCTCTTCCTCCTATTTCTATTATTTCTCAACCATAAAAAACATCATCTCTTTCAAATAGTCTCCTTCAGCATCCTTTGTAGGTATACCACAAACACAACCACACATCCTCTTTGCCGCCGCCAGTCATTGATGTGCCTTCTTTAGACTTACTTTCGACAACAATTCTTCCACTTCCTCTGGCCTTACCTCCCAAGTCTAATCTTCCTATTGTTCTTCGAAAAAGTATATTCTCTACTTGTAATCTCTTTTTTCATTATATTGCGTTAACGTATCATCGTTTGTCTCCTTCCAATTATACTTGTCTTTTCCTCATTGTCTTTCATTTCTATTCCTAAAACTACAAATGATGCTATCTCTCATTCTGGTTGTCAACAGGTGTCAATCGCTAAGATGTGTGCACTTCAAAGCATTCACACTTAGGACTTTGTTCCTCTTCTTTTGGAGAAGTCTATTGTTAGTTGCAAATGGATTTACACTGTTAAGATTGGCCTTGATGGTTATATTGATCACCTTAAAACTCGTCTGATGGCTATAAGCTATACCCAAATCTTTGGTTTAAATTATGGTAATACATTTTCTCTAGTAGCTAAAATGGTCTTTGTTCACCTATTCTTATCTAACGCTATAATTCGTCACTAGCCCCTTTACCAACTTATATCAAAAATGCATTTTTCCGTGATGATCTCTTAGAAGAAATATATATGAAACAACATCTTGAATTTGTTACTCAGAGGGAGTATTTTGAATTAGGCTGTCATCTCCAAAAATTCTTATATAGATTTAAACAATCTTCTTGGGCATAGTTTGATCACTTCAATATTGTAGTTTAAGAATTTGAAATGACTCAAAGTGAAATTGATCACTCAACTATCGTCATTATGCCTCAAGATGCATTTATTTGATTATTTATGTTGATGACATTGATATTACTAGTAATGATCACCATGGTTATTAGTTATTATTACACAGATAAAGCAACATCTATGTCATCATTTTCAAACAAGATCTTGACAAACTTCGATACTTCTTGAGAATAGAGGAGGCACAATCTAAGAAGGCATTCTGGTTTTTCAAAGGAAGTAAACATTGGATGATTTAGAGTAAGCTGTATTGATAGGTACCAAGCCTGTAGACACTCCTTTAGATCCTAAATTCTAAATTTTTCCCAAGTCAAGGAGAGCCTATTTTTTATCAAAGTATAGGAGGCTTGTTGGAAAACTGAATTATCTTATTGTCACTCATCCAAATATCTCTTATGTAGTCAATGTAGTAAGTCATTATCTTAACTCTTCTTGTGAAGGACATTGGAATGCGATAATTTGCATTTTAAAATACATCAAAGGAGCTCCATAAAAATTACTCTTGTATGAAGATATAGGTCACACTCAAATTGTGGGTTACTCTATTGCATAGTAGTCGATAGTGTGCTACAATGGAGCAAAGCAAAGCGACACAAATCACTATAACGGTCAAAGTTATGCAAATCATGGCCGCGTTCACAGCAAATCACAACCGCTATCTTATACATGATGAAAATGTCAAATATATTCATGCCCTTGCCTTGTTTGAACTCAAGGTTATCAAACCCTAGGTGCTCTCGGTCACCATCCCTGACAACTTTTGCTTCATCCAGTGAGCTTCATGGTGGCTAGCAACTTTTTCCAGCCCAAATCTAGTGCAGGTCACCATTTCCAGCCAGGTTCCGGTCATCTTCATCTTCAGCGAGACCCACATATTAGTGCCTTTATTTCCAGCAAGACCCACTCTGTTCTGTTTTGTTTTTGTTTTCTGTTTTGTTCTTGAACCCCTCCAAAGGACTGAAAGTATAATTTTCAGCTCATATCTTTAATTTGGGTATTTTATCTTATTTTTCAGCATACAATGTGTAGTGTAATTTATATTAGGTGTATTGCAAATCTTCAAAATAACAGTCATTACACTACCCACTATAGCATTTTTGGGGTCAGCCATTCCATGAAGCTATTCAGAATTGACTACTATGGGTGAACACAGTGATGGGATATCTTATATTTTAGCCACATATACACAACAGAGGCTTTTATTAATGAATTCAATTAAAACAACTTCTCAATAAAATAGATCATTAGGCATGACCTACTAACAAGTACATTAGTTCTTCCAGCCCTCCACCTTCATAAAGATAACTTAGAAACCAACTATACCACCACTAATATTTTTTAACATTTTTATTGTTACAATGCAGTAAAGCATACGCCCAAGTTAAGATATCACACGGTAATATAAGATAGTATATTCAAAAAAACACTGCCATAGAAGAGAAAGCCTACATTAAAATGCTCAATGATTTCTTGAAGATCTGCTTTCCGACTGACAACTTTCTTTCCTGTCAACAATCCCAGATAAAGAATATAACAGTGAATAAAACATCCATGAAAATCACTCACAGAAAGTCTTCTCAATGGGATTACTGAAATGTTTAATTCATAACCTTTCAAAACTTTGTTGATTGTATTGTTTTCTTTGATAAACAGTACACCCAATATGGTATAAATTCATGATCAACAAAGAATATACAAAAGTTGGATTAAAATATTCAAACAGATAAAATAATTGAAAAATAATAATAAAGAAAACATGCAGAATGATAAATCGTTTGGAATTCTTTAAATCAAATCACAGCAGCTCAAAATAAGTTATTTAAGAAGGAAATTATGAGTACATGGAAATCGACTTAAAGTTAAATTCAACAAGTTAAACTGCAATTACAAGAATTTGCTAAATATCTCTTTGGAACCCCTTTAGAACCCACTCAATTTTGTATTCACTCACCATACACTGACATTCCACTGTTCAAGTCATTTTGTTTACATCTGTAACTGTGTTCATGCACCATCAAAAACATAACAAATAGTATGTCTCATGAAAACAATTACAAGCACAAGCAAGCACACCTTGGTGGTCTTTCAATGTAGTAGAACTTGTGGATTCAGATATCCTACGTTCTACAATGATAACATCACCATATATTTCAGGCTTGAAAGCATCCTCTCCTTCATTGTGAATTTCAACTTGGATGACAGCATTACTACAGAGAGACATCAGAAAAAATAACTGTGTAAAAACATTATATTGGCCATTATCATTTACAATTCCAGTGGAAATTTTAACAAATTTGTTTGTTTGGCTCTTTCTTTTAATGAAAGAAGAAAGTAAAAAATATTCTTACCAAAGGATATAAGAAGAAAACGTGATATTCTAATTCCCCCGTAATATAAATCACTTCAAAAAAAGTATCATGTAAAAACTACAATTAAAGAAAAACTGATTCCCATTCCCACTAGCCTCAAACCCGTTTTTAGAAGTTGGTTCAATTCTTCCATTTTCTAGTTTGGATACGAGAGTCTAGAACCTTGATTCTTCAGGTTCTGGATCCTTTCCATTAAAATGGCTGCACGTTTTATTTTATCCCTACCCATTCTCTTACTGAGAAATTCCTCATTGAAAATCCCTTTGGAACCCCAATGCCCCTTCTAAGCTCAAATTATCCATTTGAACACCAGCACTGGGTCATGGGCAAAGAAACCCCACCATGCAAAGTGAAAGAGATCGAAAGAGTAGAAATGGTACATTTACCTGGCACCAGTTTTAATGAAATCCTTGAGAGTGGATGCCCTTTGAGTCCCTTTGGCTCGACAACCAAAAGCAACACACAATGCAGTTAGGATTGCACTCTTGCCACCTGTGAATGCAAAAGCCAAACAAAAACAATGATTCATTGGACAACAATTTTGAGGCAGCATTATTTTTCCCTAATCCATGACACTAAACACTAAATCCTAAATAAAGTAAAAAGGTTCAGAACTAGCATCGCGAATAGCCTTGTTCACATACACATAACGAAGCAGAAAATTCAATAAAAAAAAAAAAGAAAGGAAAACTAACTTCCATTTTGCCCGGTGATGAAATTGACGTGGTTTCCAAACTCGGTCTCGTGACTGGAGTGGCACATGAAGTTCTCGAGTCGAAGTCTCTTGATGATGCCTGCAGTGGAATGCTGAAGAGTGGGGGAAACCCTAGAACTGGATTCCCCCATCATATGATATGCTTCCTTCTTCCACCGGAATAGGAATCGGATGGTTCAGCTCAGAATCGAAGCCAACACGGAGAGAAAAAGAGAGAGAAAGCGCATTAACGAATGGAATTGAAAGCGGTGAAGAAGAGAACAGAGCGACTTATGAGAGAAGCAAAATAATAAAAGAGAAAAAAAAGCAAAAGCAAAATTCTGAATGGCGGGAACTGAAGGGAAGGGTTTTTCCTATTGGGTTGGGCTGTTTTAATTTGTTGGGAGTTGGGTTTAGGAATCTTTTTACAAAATTACATATTGATTAAAGAAATTTTAAAAATTATTAAATAATTAATTAAAGAGAAAATAATAATTATACGATCCAATACATGATTAAATAATTAATTAAGGACAATAATTCAATATAAAAGTATTTCTAAGAACAAGGTTCTTAAGAATTTATTTGAATTGTAATAACGTATTTTATCTTTCAACCATGTGACAATTTTAATAATGTATTATTTAGTATACAATGGGAGTAAGAGTGAAAATAGCAAGTGAAAGCTCTCGTAAAAAACCTCCTGTATTGTACCCAAACCTTCAACTACTGCAATAACAATTATAAGATTTCATTATTATATTTTTGTTGTATTGTTTTGTTTTCGAAAAGTTCAATAATATACTTTCGCATTAAAAATCTTTTGTCTCTTACGGAGTTTACACCTACCAATCTTATCATATTGTTTTAGCACTTAACTTTCCAATCCTATGTTTTTTTAATAACTCCCCTATGATTAATATGTTCTTGCTGATGACTTTGATTCATATTTTGCATGTAAAAACCATGATATCGATTCTGTCCCGCATGCCTGTGCAGAGAGAGAGAGAGAGAGAATATACCATGACCCTTATTACTATGACTTGAAACCCAAAAGTAAAATATTACAAAAACCCCAATTTGTTATAATGTCAACACTTTGTTTCTTATATATGTTAAAAGGGTGCATGCATGCATAAATAAGCAAATCATAGCGGTTTACTGGAAAAGGGGCTTGCTTACATGCATTTGGAGTAAGTTTTTGCGTTCCAATAAAGATATTGTCGACATGTTTTTCAACGATTTAACAGAAGTTGATTCAATCACCATGCTTCATGACTTGCTACTTTTTGTCAGTTTATCAATTCAAAAGTAAATTGCTCTATGGTTTGATCACAGCGTCCAATGGTCCGATTCATGGTCAATTTAGTTCGATTTTCAAAATACTAAGTAAAATTTACATGCTGTTATGATAAATAAAATATTTATATTCTTATCTAACTCATATCTTATCATTTACTATCATATCATAATGAATTCATAAGTTTTAAATTATTTTAATACTTTTTTAAAAAAGTACAAATATTACAATTTGATAAATTTTGTAACTGATAAAGGTAACATAAGCAAGTATTCACTAAAAAAATCCAAAATTGAATTACACAATAAATGAAATGCTAAACTGTCTTATATCAATATTTAAATGTCTGAGAAATTAATTTAATGCTAAAAAAAAAAACTCCACATAAATTTAATTTAATGCTACTTATTTCTTTCTTATAAGAGTGAAATTTTTTTTAAGATATTAAAAACATTACATTCATTTGAAGCATTCATTGGATCAGATAAACTTGATAGTTGAAACCTAATTAAATTAACTAGGATTAATGTAATTAATTGGTTCATTTCACTTTAAATTCAAGCCCAAACCAGTTACGGTTAGCTTGCTTCTAATATTTATCTATGGGGTTGGAAATAGGCCAAGCCCTAAAAAGATGCTGAACAAACTGAAAGTTTAGGAATATTTAACAAATAGGTAGTTTGTAAGTTACACAATCAAATTTCAATCACATTGAATGATTAACAGAACAAAAACTTTTTGTATTTTAAATAATACATACAAAGTTGTGCCCTCAAAAACAATAGTAATACATACGAAGCTTATCCAGAGAATGAAACACGTGACAACACAAAATAAAACGAATAACCGCCTTTTTTTCACATGTCAATGTCATCAGCCAAGTATTCTACACTTCTTCTACCACTTGGATTCCTGTAGGTGTATGTGTATCAACAGAGCGCATACTTTTCCCTCTTTCCATTTCGGAAGAGTGAAGGTAGACAATATAATTTATAATTACTTACAAATAAGATGATGTTTGCTTGCTTGCTCAATAAATAATAAGAGAGGGAATTTATTCAATTTGAGAAGTGTTTTATATGGGAGAGAAAAAATTAGATTAGAACTACAGAAATGTTTCTGACATAAGCAACAATTCACACTGATGTTAGTGAATTATGCAAGGCTCAGAAAGCACCACTGAGCAGAAGTTCAGCCCCTAATTATACTATAGCAAGGTCATTATAGACTCTACAATCTTGGTTTTACTAGTCACCAGTCAAAAGTCTGTTATATTTATACAACAGTGTTAATAAATCAAGCTGCAATCTTCCCCCTTCCTTCAATTTGCTTTTCCAATCATTAATTTAAAGGAAGCTAGACATCTAATACAGGTTCGTGCTTCTTCTGTCAACCATGACATATCAATGTCACTGTCAATGTGAATCCACTTACAAAAACTAGGCTTAAATCCAATAGGAGAATCTCATGCAGGACAGAAGGAATTGTTAATTGCAGGATGAAGTCAATATATAATCAAGCAAAACAAAACACCAAAAGCCAAAAAGAAGAGAATAAAACCCATTACAATACCAGCTTAAGATGCTCATAACACTTGAAAAGGAACAAAAGAAGAGGGGAGAAAAGTAAGGGGTGGCATGCAATATACAAATAAACATCGAACCATGAAGACAGGAATAGAGACAAAGAAAGTGCATAAAATATGGAATGCAAAACAAAATAAAAGAGAGACAATTTTGCATGGATATAAATGGAGAGGCCACATAATCAAAACAAATACTCTTCAGGTAAGTTTACCTAAACTGCCCCAATTTAATAAATGTTCACCATGGAAATCAATGGCAGATGTTCAATATGCATAATCTGTGTGTTAAATAGAATACATTAGAATGACAAATTTCTGTTTTACTACTCGAATATTGTTTTCTTCCATTTCGTCCTTGCAAAATAAAACTCCTTATGGAGTAAACTAGAGTATAATATGTAATGTCCATTCCTACATTTCAAGTAAAATAAATTTTGGAAAATTGTGGGGGAGGGAGTGGGCAAGAGAGTAGATAAAATAAATAGCTAAACATGAAATGGCCAACATTTTCCTCATACCACGAATTAATATTTGTTACTCTTTCTTCTTTAACCTGCCAATTGGTGATCAAAAGTTTGTGGTATAGCTATCAAACTCTTTATAATTTATTCATTATGCTTTTAGAAAAAAAATTAAAAAATGCAAAATCTGGCTCTTAAATAATTTAATTATATTTTTCCTCATATAAACCTCATTAATAGGTATAAGTTAAAAGTTTGCAAGTAAAGTAAATAAACTCAAATGCTGATGAGTTGAGAGCATGCTAGCATTTCCTACATTTATTGTGGCCTTTTCCTGATTTTGTTCCTTTTGTATTAGGAAAATTTTACACCTACTTCTTTTTAAGTCCCTGAATGCAACATGAACTCATCCACAAGAAAGGACAGAGAAAGTATCTGAATTTGCAAGTTTTCTGCAACTATGGAGAAGAACAACAGTAGAGTTTGCAAAATCTGCAATAAGTGCTTCTCCAGTGGAAAATCCATGGGAGGACACATGAGATCTCACTTGGCTAAATTGCCAATTCCTCCAAAGCCTGAAACCGAGAATCAATCACTAGACAACTCAGCAAAGTCAACCCACTGTTCAATTCAATCAGCTTCCTCACTGACTAGCCATCCCCAAAGGAAAACAACTCAGAATTTCAGATCATTGAAACACAACTTCTTAGCATCCTTGGCAAACTCAAATAGAGAAAACGAATCTGGGTCTTACCCTAAAAACCCAACTCGCAAAAGATCCAAATGCCACCGCAAATTTATTGCAGCAACCAAGATGAAAGCTGAACCAAAACAAGTGAATTCAAGCTTTGAATCTCTTCCTGTAGAAGAAGCTGCTAGGTCTCTACTAATGCTTTCCAAGGATAAATGGCCAGAAAGCAAAGAGATCAAGACACAAAAAACAAAGGAAACAAACAGGATGGAAGCAAAAGACAGTAAATATGGTAGAGATGACTCACTTGTTCAAACTCAATCTCAATTCAGGTTCAAGTGCAAGAGGTGTGGGAAAACATTTCAATCTTATCAAGCTCTCGGTGGGCATATAGCAAACCATTCGAAAAATGAAAAACTGTGCCAAGAAGTTCACCAATCTGGCGATGAGAGAAGTGGCAACAATAGTGATATTTTAGATCAAAACGTGTTTGAGTGCCCATACTGCTCCTAAGTATTCAATTCTGCTCAAGCACTCGGTGGACACAAGAAGGTACACTTCTCCAATAGGACCAATACAATGGTTGCTAACGCTCAAACCACTACTAATCAATTTGGTGGCAAATTGGTCGTAGATCTCAATTTTCCAGCTCCTAATGAGGATTAAGAGGTTAGCAATATCAGTTTTTCAAGAGTCTAGATAAGGGAGGAGGTAAAACATTACCGACTTAATCTGTAATTCAGTACACAGGTATATACTGTGTCTTTAGTTTAGATTGTTAAGAATTATGTATGCTTTAAATTATTTTTAACAATTTGACTCTGGGCTTATAAATGTAACAGAGAACTTCATTTTGATAACCATGTCAATGTTCTTGCTGGTGGTTTCTATCTCCTTTGTCTGTTAATTCTTGCTGTTTAGCCTAACTATTTCTCCTTATCTCAATAAAGACCAAAATATTGAATGTCTTCTTTGTTTGGGCATGTGGGGGATGGTTCAACATCCTCAGTTGTCACTTTGCATAATTGCAAGGTTAGTGAAAAAAGTAGAAGGCCTGGAATGGCTGGATTCTTTAGGGTACATGACCAGTACAAGAATGGGACTCCACAAGCTTAGACTTTGGCCTAATGGATTTGGATATTTTATGAAATGGTGTAAAACACACATAATATATAACTAACTCATTATACAACAATCATAAACAAAATTTCTGTTATTATATTTATATATTAATAGAAGTTTTAACACAAATACAAGAGTATATTTTTCTTCCTTATTGTGCTTATGATATATATACATGTTCAAATATCTTTAAATCTAAAAGAAAACTTTGAAGTTTAAACTATGAGTTGAACCATAGGAAAGGTGTAGTACCAAGCTGCCAGGGGATGCTTTGATAAGTACTTTTTATATTCTTCATGGCTTTCGACAGAGAGAAAATTAGCCTTGATGAATTAAACCCTTTTTAAAAGATTATAGCTCCCGTGCTTTCTGATAGTTTATCTGAATCCATTGCTGGCAAAAAGGCTAGATCTAAGTGAAACACCTCAGAAACCACAAATATGATAAAAGAAGGACCACATCTATCACCAGAAGTTTAGACATGCCGCTATGCATTCAAAGATACAAAACAGGAATTGGGCCTGTGCACAAGTGTGGCACCCCGTGGCGGAGAGAAAGGAGAAGCAGACAGAACTCCACAGAAGCTGTCTAATTTGAATAACAAAGGAGAAGCAAAACACAAGTGGTAGAGAAGGGCCAAATGGTATCATATGGGAAACTCAGTTCATATCTTTAAAGATACAAAAACCAAGTTATTGTATAAAAGATGCAAAACTCATGGCCTCTCGGACATATTGCCTAAACTTATGAATACAGACAGTGGTTTTATTCGTACTTTGTTTGCTTCCAAATCTTTAAAACATTTATAATTCATAAACTAAAGTGCAAGTAAACAAGTTATTGAATACACTGAAACATTTAATACACACTGCCAAACAGATATATCCCAAATAAATAACTACCCCTCCTCCTCCCCCAACAAAAGGACTTTTAGCCTCTAAACCATGAATCTCATCCGAGAAAAAGTAGAAGTATAAAACTTGTATAAAATAACCTAGTCAGGACATAAACAAACTACAATGCTTTTCAAACCTATAGTCAATTAAACTTGTGAAATAAAAGGCACATATGACCTATTTGCACAAAACTTAATACAATCACCTATAGCTTAACTGAAAACAAGAACATTAAACACAACTTCAAAACAGAATACTTGTCCAATGTTATATTTTTTTGCCCGAGAAATCAGGCAATGGTCCTCATATCCCTAACAGAACAAACTAAAGTCACAATTTGTAAGCACAAACAAGTTGGTAGAACAAATCCTACTAGCAAGTAATATGTATAGACCATTTATCAACCATTCAAAATAGAGCAAAGTTGTTTTGGTGCATAACTTAAACTACTTTAGTAAACTCATCTATACTGTACCACATGATTATCCCCAAACAATTCAGTCGCAGTGCAGAAATGGTGAGAAATCAGAAATTAGTATACCCGATTGGGTTACTGGTGAGAAAGAAGATAGTTGGTGACTTGGTGTGCATATGCGGCATTCCAAGGTAACGAGCGATGGATGGAAAGAATGGGTTGGCTCAGTCTTTTCGCAAATGCTGATCCAAGGACAACCTTGCTCCCGTCGCCTTCATATTTCTGTGCGGTATATTCAAAAGATTGCATGCTAAAAATGTCACATTTATTATATTTGAACAATCAAGATCATTTTTATGCATAATTAATCATGCGTAAATATATAAATTAACAATTTTTTAAGCCATTAAATATTTTATAACATAATATATATATATATAAAAAAATTTCAGTAAAAGATATAACATTTAATAATATAATATATTTAATTACATTAAATTTTATAATTTTCATTAAAAAATTACTATATATAATTTTTATCCCGTACAGCGTTATAAACATTTTAATAAATTAAAATTAAAAGTGTGCTAATTAGGAATTTAAAATAATCCTAATTATTTTTATTTTTAACATATAATGTTATAATGTTGTCCATTTTGTGAAAAAAAAATGCTATATTCTACAAATTTTGATGTAAAATTTTTATTAACACTCACAAAATATATTTAACTGTTGTTAAATGTACCTCAAGATTATTTTGTTTGGTGCTGTAAACATTGATATAAATAAAATTTTTAATCATGATCCTTAATTCACGATAAATTTTAACTTTGCATTATCGATAGAGATTTATAAGAGTCTTTTTTATTATTATGTTTGGTAAAAATAATTGATAAATTAACTAAAAATATTTTTAACTAAAAGTTGATTAATTTAATCTATTAAATTAAAAGATAATAAGATAAATTGTTAATTGTTAATTGTCCATAAATAAATATAAAGGAGCATCAAAGGTATGTTTATATAATCTTAATATAAAATTTATTTTTAATTTTTAAATAAAAATATCTATTTAGGTAAGTATTGCTTTAGATGTTTTAGTTCATAATAGATATATTATTACGTTAAATAAAAACTAATTGAAGAAATATTGTTTTTAATATGTATATATATATATATATATTATTCAACTAAAAAATGTATATTTAGTAATTATTGAACAGATAAATTAAGTAACACAAAGTTATTTTTACTTGATTAGCCAAATCAAAAGTTAGTCTTAAACTATGAAGTCAATATAAAGTAATTTTATGTGAACCATGGAGTCCATATGAATTAACGGGTATGCTTGACTTTAAATTTCAATAAATAAAATTATGTCAAAATACTTAAAAGAAAGGTTTTACAACTCATAAAAAAAAAAAAAAAAAAACTCCCTATGAAAAATTCTTGTCATCAATACTAAAAAAATTTACCTATATTAATTTAATAACAACATTTTTTCTATAAATTAACATTTGGTTGCTTTTTCTGAAAAACTTAACAAATATAATAGTTTGTCTAAAACAATTATGACAAATATTATCATTTTAAACCTTTTGTTTGTCAAAATAAAATGTAATTTTTTTTAAAACTTTAGAAAAAGCTATTTAAATTAGTCTAAATTGATAATTAAAATCAAGTTAATTATAATAAATTAAGACTCTCTTGTATCTTCATTTAATTATGATGAAGTTATTATCTGAATGACCCATAATTTTTACTTTTAACACACACAAAAAATTACATTAAAAATTAAGGTGTTTATTTCATTTGATGTTATTCAAATGATTCTTACAAATTTGAGCAATTATTTCGGTTACATTTATTGTATTTTTATTGTTCTTTTGTTATCACTCATTAAAATTAAGTGATCGTGTAAGTTAACCAAAAATATTTGAGAATAAAAGGTTATCCACAGAATAATTTCTTCGTAATCAATCACTCACCACTAAATTATAAACATAGATGCATTATTGAAGATGAAACGCATTCTTATTTCCACTTACATCATTGAATATGAAACAATACTAAGATACAAAATCAATTAAATGTAATCTCACAAACACAAAGAACAATAGATATCATAAAATGAAAACTTCGAATAAAATACTCAAAATTCAGACAAACAAAATAATTTTGATTTTTATAAATGAAAAGAATGAAGCAACTGACAGAAACGATAATGCAAAAGTGAGTGAGTTAAATTGACTTTGTTACGATTATGATAGTAGCACCAACTATGAAATACCAATGGATCAATAATAAAAAGACTATAATAAATATGAACAAGTACAGTTAAACAGAATGGAATGGAAGGTAATGGAATAGGACATATTATATATAATTTTAGAATTGTAATTAAAGATATTTTAAAAATAAAGTTAACAAAAACATAAAGATGTTTGTTATGTCATTTGTAAACTTGAGAATGTATTTTATATGTTTTTTAGAACAACGATTATGATTTATCTTATGTCTTAAATATTAGAGAATATTAAATTCTTTTAAAAATAAATTAAGTGAAATAAAAACTCAATAAAAAATTTCCTTCCCCTGTAGATTTATTAACTGATTTTGGGCCCTATTTCTATGGGCCTAACTGAAGTTAACTCACATGAGTCGAGGCCCAATCCAAATTAAACTACCTTGCTGGGATGTTCAATTCACAGAAGCATCTAAACTAGATGACTTCGGACCCAAAAAGCAATAATCTAACAAAAAGGAGAGCATCTAAAACTATCGAGTCTGCAAACTTACATGCCACACGTAGCCCACTCTAAGTTTTAATAAGACAATGCAAGTATTCATTAAAACTATATTAAATAAAAAATATTTTAAGATTTCAAAATTTTAAAATGATATATATGTTACTATATATAAGCTTGAATTTAGATTCACACAAATCTAAAGTACAAATGAAAAAAAAAAGAATTTCATTATTATTACTACTATTATTATCAATATTTGTTGGTCCAAGTGATTAGAAACATGATTCCTCTTTTAAGTAGGATTCTGAGTTTAAAACTAATAAATAAATAGTGTCTTGAGAGCTTTACTTTTTTAAACGAGTTAACTCGATCAGACTCCAAATAATTAAGACCAAATGTGACTTTTACATAGTGAATATTTTAGACAAAAAAGAATGCATGCAAATGCAAGTATATTTAACTCAATATACTAACATTACACATTATATAAGATTAACTTACATGCGGTAGAAAGATATTTAAAGCAATCTTAATGCTTAACTCAAGGAAGGTAATGTTAGACACAAGGATAAAATCACTTTAAGTATGCTTTACGAATCAAATCCCGACATTCTAATGATTATGGATATTCAAATTTGTTTTTGATAAATTGGAGATATACACTGATCCTTTTTCCATTTGGAGAAGTTATGATTCAACTAAATTTTAGTAAAAAATTTGTGCTCTTCTTTCCCTCTCCCCATACAAACTATGATTTTAACTGAATGTTGCACTGAAGATTTAGTGGGGGTCATGAGTTTTATGACTGAACTAGTTAATTAGAGGACACTTATCGTGATAAACTCAAAACCTTCATATACTTGCTGGTTACTTTAGTAGTGGGAGGCAACCGTGTCAACCATGGATCCATCCATACGAGCCGCACACTTCTTAATATATAAGCATTAGCAAACAAGAGTCATAACAATTTATATATATATATATATATAACACAGGGAAAAACTAGGACAAGTAACACTTGAAAGAAATTCCATTGAAAGTAAAAATAGAAAATCACTTTCTCCTATACCAATCCCCCCACAATAAGAAAAATATCAAAAGAAGGAAAAAAAGCATTTCAATCATATAAACACATTAACTAGCATTCAGGCGTGGGCTTTTGTGGCAAAGGAATATCATCCCCTGCAACCACAGTGTCCCCAACACATCGACCTACAACACTATCAAGCAATTTTCTCTTGGGCTTGGCCTCTTGCAGCATCAACACAACGTCCCTCATGGAAGGTCTATCCGCAGGGTTCCTACTTGTGCATAGCAATGCAATTCTAAGCATCTGTATCATTTCCTCTCTCACAGAGGAGCACCCTGCCCCTGCATTCTTATCCAATATATCATCAATACCATCTTTGCTCTTTATCTTGGACCTAACCCAGTCCACAATGCTGTTCCCATCGCCAAATTCTGCATCCACCGAACGTTTTCCGCTTAAGATCTCCATTAACACCACCCCGTAGCTGTATATATCACTCTTCTCATCCACTTGCAACGTGTAAGCATATTCTGCAAACAAACAAACGAGACCCTTAATAATAAAGTACAATTAATTAATGCCATAATAAGACACAGGCACCAGCATTAAAATCATTCCATCAAGACCCAGACCCTTTTACTTTAATGGATTAGATAAGTAAAACCAAAGTCAACAACATGCTCATGATTCAAAGGAGTTATGATAATTGACAATATTCTCGGTGGGGCCCGTTAAAATATTTGAAGATCATTGAGAAAAGCATGGTTCAAAAGTGAAAATAATAAATAAAGGAAAAGCTATCCTCTCCTCTCCATGCGCAACAGTGCACCTACCCATACCATGCACCGAAATTGCACCACCTTAACCTTAATTAACTAGACAGGGTTCCATGAACACCCTGCCTTTCAAAGTTGCGTTCACTTTGCGCCCACCAATGTCACTATTGCTTCGTATCCATCACCCTCTCTCACTCACTTTATCTATAATTCTTTTTGTTACTTCACCAATTGATTCTCTTTGATTGGACACACACCCAGCGGAAGCTATATCCATCCATCAACGGAGCAAGCATAGTAATTTAGTTTTTAACTTGGGCATGCTATCAAATATATTATCTAATTAAAACTTGTTTAATCTGTGGACATAACATAAAAAAGGTAATAAAAATTGTAAGCCTAACATGAATACATTTTTCAATTACATGGAAATTTGTAATATCATAACAGAGAATGATGATGTAATGAAGCATAGATTGAAGAAGAATGAAGGGAAAAGGTGGCTGACCTGGAGCAATGTAGCCGTAGGAACCGGCAATGACAGACATGGACTCGTCGGTTTGTATAAGCTTGGCGACCCCAAAATCAGCGACTCTGGCCTCCATCTCAGCGTCCAAAAGAATGTTGCTAGGTTTGAGATCGCGGTGAACGATGACGGGGTCACAGTCGTGGTGAAGATAGCAGATACCCTGAGCCACACCCAAGGCGATTTTGTACCTTGTGAACCAATCAGCGACAAGATTGTGATTATCACCCTTGTTTTTGGCATGCAATAAATCCTCCAAGTTCCCATTAGGCATGTACTCGTACAGCAGCATCGTGCACTCCCTGTTGCTGCAACACCCTAACAATCTCACTATATTCCTGTGCCTCACGTTCCCCAACACCTCCACCTCAGCCAAAACCCCTCTCCGCCGTCGGATGTTTTCTTTATGTTTTCCCCACAGCTTCTTAACCGCTATGATCTCGCCACCTGGCATCTCCGCTCTGTACACAGTCCCCGTCGACCCCATTCCTAATATCTTATCCGACATCGACAGACACTCCAGAACGTCCTCCGCCGTGAAATTCAGACGTTGGAACGCCGTTAGCTTCCACGGCCCGATCTCGTTCCCGTCGTTGCCGAACCGGCCGCCGTAATTGGCGTGGAAGCACCGCGTGCCGGCGACGAGCACGAAGAGGCCGATCCCGAACGCGGCGGCCACGATCCAGACGATTGCACCGGCGGTCCGCTTGGGCTGCTGGCGGCGGACGTCGAGCTGGTTGTCGGCGGCGGAGAGGGTGTCGGCGGCGCATGGCTTGGCGAGGAGGCGCCCGCAGAGGCCGCGGTTGCCGGAGTAGGAGGAGGGGTGGAGGTTGGGGAAGATGCCGGAGGAGGGGATGGGGCCGGTGAGAGAGTTGAAACTAACGTTGAAGTTTTCGAGGGTGGTGCAGTTGTTGAAATTGGAAGGAATAGTGCCGGTGAGGGAATTGTGGGAGAGATCGACGTCGGTGATGGAAGGTAGAGCGGAGATTTCCCAGGGAATGATTCCGGTGAGTGCGTTTCTGCTGAGATTGAGGAGAATGAGCTTCTGACAGTGAGAGATATCCCATGGAATGGTCCCGTTGATGGCGTTCCCCTGCAATTCGATCTTGTACAAGGTTTGGCAGCCAACGAAATCGGGAATCTGGGCGGTGATATTGGAGGAAGCGGCGGAGAATATCTGAAGATTGGTGGCGTTCCATATGGTGGAAGGCAAGGGCGTTCCGAAGGAGTTTCCGGAGATGTTGAAATATTGCAAATTCCCCAATCGTTGAGGAATTGGACCCTGCAAGTTGTTGTTGCTCATGTCCAGAAATGTGAGGTTGGGGAGGAGCGTGAGGCTCTGGGGGATGGAACCGTTCAGGTGGTTGTTCTGGATTCGAACCCTGGCGAGTGATGTGCAGTTCCCCAAGGACAGTGGGAGAGTGTTGGTGAATTTGTTGTTGAATAGTATGAGCCTCAAGAGCTTGTTGCCTTTGCATATGGTTGCAGGGATTGGACCTTCGAGTGAGTTTGTGGAAACGTCCAGTCTCTGTAGCATTCCATTTGAGCCCAGTTGGTGAGGGAGAATGCCTGTGAGTGAGTTGTTGAAGAGGAACAGAGTTTCCAGGTTTTGGAGATCTCCTATTCCTTCTGGTATGTCTCCGGTTAGGTTGTTGTCCATTAGGTTCAGTGTGCTTAGTTGGGTTAGCATGGTGACTTGGGTTGGGATTGGACCTGTGAGTTGGTTATCTGACAGGTCAAGAGCTTTCAGGGACTTCAAATTCCCTATGCTTGTTGGGATTTCACCGGTTAACCGGTTCTTGAACAGCAACAGGGTCTCCAGCATGCTCAAGTTTCCCAGCTCAGGGATCACGCTCCCTGACATGTTGGCTGATGAGATGTCCAAGTATTTGAGGTTTTTTAGCAATGCAAGTTCCGGTGGTAATGTTCCGGTGAATGGGTTGTATCCGATTTCCAAGTGTTGTAGCTCTGTTAAGTATCCTAGCTGGGGTGGCAGAGGACCCTCCAAGGCGTTGCCGGCTAAATCTAGGAGCTTGAGTCTGGGGAAACTGCCGTAGCTTGATGGAATGGTGTCGCGGAAGTAGCTTCCTCCGAGGTTGAGTTGCTCAAGAAAACGAAGCCTGGTTAGGTCTTGAGGGAGAGGCCCGGTGAAGCTGTTGCTGTAGGCATTGAAGACTCTGAGGAAGTTGAGTTTGGATATGCCGGGTGGGAAGGTTGAGTTGAAGGAGTTGTGGCTTATGTCTAGAGTTCTGAGCTCTGTTAGTTCAAAAATGGCTGTTTGGAATGTTCCCCCGAGGTCGTTTCCGCTGAGGTTAAGGTGGTTTAAGGTGGATAGGTAGCGGATTTGGCGTGAGATTGTGCCGGAGAGATTGAGGTGGGAGAGGTCGAGGGTGGTGATTTGCGCTGTTTTGGGGTGGCACGTGATGCCTGTCCAAGAACACCATATGGGGTGATTGGAGTTGGAGAAGGTGGAGGTGGGGGTGGGGTCCCAGTCATGGAGGTTCTTGAGAGGGTCGACGAGGGAGGATTTAATGGAGAGAAGGGCGATGAGTTGGAGTGGGAGGGTGGTAGCTGAGAAAACTAGGTGGTGTGTCTGGCAAAAGAAGGAGAATGTGAGGAAGAAAAGGAGAGGTTTCATGGTTTTGGGGTGGTGGGAATTGTGGATGAGAAGGGGGTGGCGTTGAGAGAGGTAAATTTAAGGGAAGGAAGGTTTTGATGAGGAAGGAAATCGCTTTTTCGGAGTGCAGGGTGCAGAGGGAGTTTCATCATGATAATTTGCTTCAGTGGGTTTTGTTGGTGGTAGACATTAGAGAAAGAAAGAGAGAGTGACTAACTGCTACTTCACCTTCTATTATACCATCCAACTATCCATCCATCTACGCCTCCTACTACTTACCACAGTTCTCTGTCTAATCTTCTTTCTCTCTCTTACTAAGTATTCTACCTTTGTCTCATATCTCCGCTCATACTTTTAATTTTCTTTGAATTCTTTTTTGCCTTTTCTTTTGCTCCCACTTTTCATCATTCCCTTGTTCCCCTTTATCTTTGGCTAACAATTTGATAAGGGTTATATTTGCAATAGTGACACTGTCTCTCGCAGGATCCAAGAAAGCCATCTCAATTTCCCACCATATTCCCCCAAACCATTATTTTAAATTAACCCATTTTCTTTTCCTTTATTTTTCTCTTCTTTATGCATATATATGGCCATGGAGGGAGGCTTTATTTTGTGCTTTATTTTTTTTCCTCCTCCCTTCTTTCCCTTTCTATGGGTGGTGTTTTAGGGCTTTGGTTCTGTCTTATATATTCCCTGCCTCCAGCATGGAGATTCAGGTGAGAACCTTGTCCAAAACACAAGTATGGACCACACATATTCTAAATTGGCTAATACCAATATGCCTGTCTGCAAAATCCCAATCAAGGAATGCATAGTTCACATACGCATATCTATGTAAACCATTCATCCATTAAATTATAATGACAAGATCTTGGGACCAATTTTGGATTATCATTAGACCCTCATTTGGACGTATTGGACGCAAGGAGAGCAAGCTCACCTAACTTTCTCGGCTCAAACAAATGAAAATCTCGAATCAGCCAAGCAATGATAAGCAACAAAAATGATCTTATTGCCCAATCTTTTTTTCTGTCCTTATAATTGGTTTTAACAAACTTGTGCAAATGTGCAAGCAACGAATGGATTACATACTAGCTTTGTCCAAAATTCACCTTTCTTTCATTTGCAATCATATTTTTATCACCCCAGAATGCAATACGGGTATGGTACGTATTAAGTCATTACTCCTTATTTTATACGATATATATATGCCACTTTAAGAATAAAGAAGAAAGAATAGAACACTTTTTTCCCACCATAATTTATTAATTTATGCACCGATTACAGATTGATGCCATGATTTATTATTGTTTGATAATATATCTGAGAAAAGCCGTGAATTTATATTCTCTGAAAATGTTTAAAGTATAATAGGAAAAAAAAAAAAGAAGCAGCTAAAGATCAACAGTTCTTTCTATTTTCGAACCTAAATATGTGTTCTAAGGACTTGACACTATTTTATATTATTAATTTATGGTCATCAGAATTAAAACCGATTGGTCAGAGAAATTGGCCATATGTAGATTTTGTAGAAAAATTTTCTTAAGAAATGACATTGACCTAAAAGAATATAGAAGACAGAGAAAAAAAATGCTAGCGTGTGCTCCGAACAGAATTGGCGCGGCTGTTTGAAATTCAGGAAACTGGTTTTGTCAATTTCAAAGCATTAAAGAATGTCATAGAATGATGGGTTCATTGTTGATGCTTAACTAATACTATATTAAATACCGAATATGCTTAAATTTTGTCGCTTTTTTGGCACAGTTTGACTTCACTAAAGCAATACTATGATGGGCAATTACAACTTTGTATCATTAAACGTTATTAAAGTATTTCTTAAGATAAGAATAAAGCTTCAAACACAATCATCCTCAACCCCAATCTGTTACAGACTTGTGCATACTGCCATCCAACATCTTTTTCTTCCGCTAAAACGCATGTCTCATTTTCTTTATCGTCACTGTTACAAATTCGTTGAACGGGTCCTAATTAACTCGGTTCCATATATATTATATTCATAACCATGCAAGCTATTGATGCACTTAAACATTCTGCTTTGGCGGTTGAATATAAATTCTTTTTCTTATAATTAATACCTATTTACATGCTATTTTATATATTACAAACATTATATTTTAATCTTTATATATGTTTTTCATTATACTTTAGTTTTTATGTAACTTACGCCTTGATCATTAATATTATTAAAAATAAAGGAGATCAAAATGTAATGTTATACTTGTATAAACATAAAAATATAATTGTTTTATGTATAAGGGCTAGTTCATAAATCAACATTAACTATATAAATTAAATTTGTGTTTTGATTTTATTTATTTTACTAAATATTCAATATTATTTTTGAATGAGTATTCTAAAACAATTCTTATCTTTTTAAAAATGTTTAATTTATTTATTCTTTGAAATTACTTTGCATAAAAATGGTTTTACACTCAAACACCCATTAACTAATACTGGTTCATGACATGCTTTCAAATATCATAGAAGTGAGGATTTGGGTGGAGATAGCAACTGGTATGGCTAGGTGGCATGTGCATTTTAATATGTGTAGCAGAAAGGACAAATAAACGCTGATTATAAGAATGATAATCGTAAGAAAGCCAAAAAGGCTAATTGTGCCGTACTAGTTGTGAGGGGATTTGTGTATGCGTATTTGCAAATGTTGCAAACATAAAATGAATGATGTAAGCAAAGCAAAATTAACATTAAAAACAAGCCCATCATAATTTCTCGATTATATGATACTCGATCATGTTCAAGAGGCACTGTTGCATGCTTTCATTTGAATTAACAATAATTTAAGGCGTGAGATTTTTATAATTATGAAGTAACTCATGAAGATAAAATGTACCACACTGTCTACTGTCTAGAGAAACAGAACATTTTATATATTAAAGCTGAAAGGACAAAGCTATACTTAAACAAGAATTTCACCTAAAACCTGCAAAAATATCCAAATGGGTAGAATAAAGGGCCACTTTCACATTCCCATTTGACATATTTAATAGGCGTTTATTCTGTTGGAAATCTGGCAACATTGGAGTCATAAAATGATAGCATGCACTTTGCATTAAACGCCATGCTTTAATGCTTATTACATCTGGGACTTGTATTTTTCTTTCATTTAGCACCATATTCTATTTGTATGGTGAGAGGGACACTTTCATGGTTTAAGAAATCTACATGGAAGAGCTTTCGTCATTTACTGCTCCTAGCCTGAGCATAGAGCACGTGTTTATGCGTGTCTTTTCCTAACTACGTACATAATATTAATGAAAACGATAATGGAGAATTTTTAAAAAATAGAACAGAGACAAATTGGAAGAAAAAACACAAAAGGAGCGTTTGACGTCATGCATGGAGAAAACGTACGTAGTCGAAGAGTATGGTTAGTCACGGTCTTGAGGGCATAAAGGGAATCTTAAGTATTCACATAGTACATTTGATTTCCTACGTATGAAAGGAATCTTAAAACAAAGGTAGTGTTAGTGCTATGTTGGAGTATGGAGTTGAGACAATTTGAAACTTGAAAAATGAGTTCATTCAAAGGTTTGATGAAATGACCAAAACAGGCATTACAAAAGTGATGTTCAGATAGGCACATGACTATGAACTACGATGTGTGGAGTGGGCCTTACAACATTGGCAGAGGCAGAGGCCACGCCACAGTCTATAGCAGTTGTTGGGACCCAATTGGGGTATTGGTTTGGTGGAGAGTGCTATTGTGGGTACCACAACTCCTTTCATTTGTCTCCCTTATACCCTTCACACTTTCTCCCTAAGATGCTGTACAATCTAATCTAATTTTCATCTTTGTAACTTTTTTTTTGTTAATTTATTAGAAGAGCAGCATATCTAATGCGTTGCATGTCAAAACTTGGGGAATTATATTTTTCTTTTATCATAAAATGTAAGCAATGATTAGCAGCGAGATTATTATTATATTCTCTTTTTAAAATTATAATTGATGAGAAATGATTATGAGCTTAATTCAAAATGTATCATTTTGTTGCAAAATGCATTTATTTAAACAGAAATAAAATTAAAACAACTTTGGAGACAAATTTAACGATTCAATATGGGTTAAGTTTGATTCTGCCTCCATTTTAGGAACTGAATCAGCATGCTGAATATCCTCTCAAATAACATGATTCAGGACATCACTGAAATGGACCAAAATAAAGTGAATATGGAGCAGACTCAGCAGATAACAAACAGGTAGCAAGCAAGGGAGATTTTACAATTATAAAGCACAATGGTCCCTTGTGAATCACAATTCTTCATTTTCTTTATTCTCATGAAAACTTCAAATTTTACAGAACTGCATGATTGGTAATAATTAAACAATTTAAGATAAAGGGTCAAGAGGAGTGACGCAAAATGCATTTTTCTATGGTATGGTTTGGAATTGGCATGGCATGAGGGGACAAATAGGCACTGGTAACACACTCAATGCCAATGGCGTTGAGGCTATTGTGCTATTCTGATTAGTGATTACTGCTGAGTGATGCAAAGGGTATGAGTAGGAGTGAGCATGATCCATCAATGAGGCTTGCTCGCATGACTAGTGTTCATGACCCTACCATTTTGATTGTCTCATGTGCCATGATAGCCACCCTTTCCCCACCCCACGCGTGATTCCCTCTCAATTTCTTCAACTCTTAACCCTCATAGCTTTCTTCTTCACCTCACTAACAATTTAATTTTTGTCTCTACTCTTTGTAACCACATATAAAAATGTAGTTTTATGTGGTTGGTTATGGTTGTAGCCGCTTATGTGTTATGAGTGGAAACTGCAACAATATTTACAGTCCTGACACCACCGGAAAGTTTGTCATTTTGAATGAAGGCATAAAAGACTATGTGAATTTGATCATGCGTCTCTTTCTGCTATTGGAGACTTTATGACGTGACTTCCCTAGTTTCGTGCTGCTCTATATGATTAATAATCAAGTAGCTGACGTTTACTTTCCATAACATATCTCATTCTAGTAAGATAT